TAGATCTTTGTTACTTGTATCAAAGTGTTTTAAGGCACCCAAATGACCTAGTACGGTGGAGCCTGAGGAGAGTCAGCACTCCCTCTCAAAATACTTTCACATGACCACGCGCATACAGTCACTTCTAAGGAAGTCCTACTCACTGCCTTCTCGCGGCTGGTTTTTTTACGAAAGTGAGATGACGAAGAGCGAATATCCGGCGCCTTAACCTGGTGGATGTAGAGAATCCCCCTAGAAGTTGGAAAACCCTCATTCCAAACCAATCGTGCATATGGGCTCCAGGATCCTAACAGAACAAATGGCCTACGAACCAATTACTGATCACTGGCTACAGTGGGAATGCATCTCCCTTACGTTACTTAATTGTCTTATGGATTAGACTGTTATGATTTGATGTCCGGCTTACGATCACGTGACTTATACACCAATCAGAATACGGCTTATACGAATATTCGCACTATGACAGGGCCAATGACGTTCAACCGGTCTGAGCAGTCTAGCGTCCTATTGGGTCCTACGTCCTTCTAACCTGTCCTCTTGAGTCCAGAACACAAAAGCAGCTTCCGAATCAACCAAATCGAACCAAATCATTTATTTCAGACATACTCGGTTTATATATCAATCAGGCAGACCACAACGTACCATAAAATAGAAACTAACATGTGTACACAAATAGGCCAAAAAGTGGCTGTGAATGTGGGAGACAGTAATTAATAAACTGAGCATAATTTAGGGACAGTAAATCGTACAATGATAAATTATAGGTCAAAGTGAAGCTTATGATAAGGGGAATATAAATATACATAATCTAACTATTAAATAATTACACCGTAAGAATATATAGATAATATTAGTCAATTAATGTCTCAGAAGTTACTCGTGATTTAATCTTCGCTCGGATATAACATAGACCTTTAGGCCAAAGCCTCTGTGTGTGGCCCATAAGAAAACCACCTGCTTTGGTCTGGGCACCCGTGTAGTATCACAGGCCATACACTAAAATGAACAAGATCAGCAGCTTCATGTCTAATCGATTCAAAGAGTGACCAAAATCAATAAAAACCATTAATTAGTTCAAATCATAAACGGATCTAATTTGAACGGCCATTAAAAACCTGGAAACACTGGACCGTTGTTTCATCCTAGTGTGGGACTCCTTGAAAATGCACATACACGATTCCATTCACGGGACTCGGTTACACGATCTTTGCTTTCGTACGTGACGCTTAACCTCTCAAACTTTGAGCCTGTATCCAACAATCTTAACGTTTAACTTCAATCGACCCATGATGTTGCGCAACCCATCATTCATTGTCTAAAGTGGATAACTGTACATCGCGGCATGGATTGAACAACACTGATAACGGCTCAGTGGTCCAGAAGTTAAGCGTTCGCACGTGAAAACCAAGGTCTACGGTTCGAGTCCCGCGTGCGGATGAAGAGTCCAATACAAGAACGAATGGAGATCCAGCCTAAATCGACTCATGAATTCAACTATTAAAATAACTACAGTCTCCACAAAGTCTTATTCTGATGAAAGCCATTTACAACTAGATGTATAGGCGAGCAATATTGTTTTCGATTAGATCCTCATCAGGCTTTACTTTGATATACAGTAATATTTATAGGCATATACAAAATTATTAAACCAATCAAGGCAGTCTATGATACAATTATAACAGTGGAATAGATTACATAATAAGTGAAAAGTACAAATTGGTAGTTCGATGATAGGTGTACTCGTTGCGATAAGAATAACAAAGGCTTGAATCAATGTCTCATATTGGGAATTAGGTCAACGATTAGAAAAATACAGACACTGAAATAACATTTATAAAAATTATAAGATTACGTAATAAGAAATGTTCAGATAATTGGACCGTGAAGTGTATACTTGACAAAAAGAAAAGGGTGAGAAGACAAATAGGTTATTTAAAGTAATTTATCGTATTCCTACTAGTTTTCCTTATGGGGTTTAATCTCATCTCGTACTTATAACAGAAGCTATAGGAGTTCGAGTCAACAATCCAAGCCTTTGTGTTCATAAGAAATTTGTAATACCTTTATCTCTCCCATGGCCTTAATAAATGACCATATTTACTATTATTTTCCATACTCTTTCTTCGTTTTATTTTTCTTCTCACCCTTTTCTTTTTGTCAAGTATACACTTCACGGTCCAATTATCTGAACATTTCTTATTACGTAATCTTATAATTTTTATAAATGTTATTTCAGTGTCTGTATTTTTCTAATCGTTGACCTAATTCCCAATATGAGACATTGATTCAAGCCTTTGTTATTCTTATCGCAACGAGTACACCTATCATCGAACTACCAATTTGTACTTTTCACTTATTATGTAATCTATTCCACTGTTATAATTGTATCATAGACTGCCTTGATTGGTTTAATAATTTTGTATATGCCTATAAATATTACTGTATATCAAAGTAAAGCCTGATGAGGATCTAATCGAAAACAATATATAGTTCACTTATATATCTTTTTCAAAGTCGCATTGTTGTAATTTTTACAAAAAAAGTATTAATACATATACCTGATATATCCTGTCATCTCGTCCGGATAGTTTTCGTTTCTCAGATAAGACGTGCAACTGTCACATCTTGTTATTATTGTCATGTTTTTCTTCTAACTTAATCGTACTCTGATAATAAGGTTACTTATTAAAGTATGGCTTAAGTTAGCGTGTTTACATATATCTTACTTGTATTAGTCAACGTTCATGTTTTAATCATAGATCATTGATTTATTCTTCTTATTCATAACCAAATATGTACTGGGTGTGTTGTTCTATTCTATCATTTTAATGGAATCATTTTCGTATAATTAATTTTAATAGGGCATTATTTTGATTTTTCAGTAGTCAAGTAAATTTTGTTATTGATATCACAAATAAGGTACATAGAGATTACAGACTTACAGGCAAATTTCTTTGTATGTTTGTAATTGTGCTAAAAATTTTGTCACATACACTTTTCAAAACTAGTTTAACTTTCTAATTTAATTAAATTTGTTAGTACACTTAATCTGCTCACTCATATTCCGTAAATAGACTATTTGATCGCATCAAATTATGATATAAATCTTATACATGCGGTGAATTCCTCGTTCTAACGAAATCATTATGTGAGATAGTAATATTAAGAATGAATAATCAACCGCATTCTTTCAGATGATCTTGAGTATAAACTATTAATCTCTAATGTATTAAAAAGTACATCTCCAATGACAGTCATTTAGATAAAATGTAATTCGTTTAATACAAAAAACAGTAGATATCATTGATTAGTATTGTTAATGGTCAATCTGTGTGAATATGTTAGTTGGGTAAAGGAAGTCATTCAGTTTCAAAAAATACTTTATTTTTAATGTCATTTTGTGTGACGTGGTTGGTGATGCAATTTAAGTCTTATAAAAAATCATCACATCTTTGGAAATTGTAGATACATCTTATTAGCAGTTATTAGTTAACTGAAATTCTTTAGTAAAACAGGGTTTAATTATCTCGCATGATACTTTTCATTATGACTACTGAACTGTTTAAATTCAAACAGAATTACTCAACAATTCAGAATATCTTATAAATGTTTGATCATCTCACATTTAAGTTTATCAATGAATATCATTGATAAAATAATATCAACAATATGAGATAATTATTTGATAGTGCAGTAGTTATTCATTGATTTATTTATTTTATTGGAACACATAGATATTGGTACAAGGGGGGCACCAGATACATATGCGTCACACAAATCAAATGAGATTTGTGTGAGGGCTGTGATACTGCACGGGTGCCCAAACCGAAGCAAGTGGCTTTCTTAGGCGGCCACACGCAGAGCTTTTGACCTAAAGGTCTGATCCACAAGGTAGCGGAGCATCGTAAGGAGATGCAGTCCCATTGTAGCCGGTGACCAATAATTTTTTCATTCGCCATTTGTTCCTTCAGGATAATGGAGCACATATGCACGATTGGTTTGGAATCAGGGTTTCCAACTCCCCTAGGTGGACACGGAGGGTCCACAAACCCTGTTAAAGCTCCGGACATTCGCTTTTCGTCCTCTCAATTTCGTAAACAACAGTAATGCCGTGAGAAGGCAGTGAGTAGGACGTCTCTGGCAGTGGTTGTATGCACGTGGCTGTGTGAGTGCGTTTAGAGAGGGAGAGTGGACTCTCCTCACTCTCGGACGTACCAGGACATTTGGGGGCTACTCATTTACTTAGTAATTGTGGTCCAGGACAAAATGTATCAGAAATATTCCATATTAAGCAGTCTTCAGGATTCATCAACACCTAAGATAAACGAAGTATTCGTTGATTTAATGTCTTATTTCAGTTTATTCAATGTTTCTTCTTTTCTGTTAACTTCAGTTTGCAATATAACATTTGATTTGAATACTTTTTTTCATAAACAATCTCATCTTTCCTTGTTTTTTATATTCCACTTATAACAGTGTCTTGATCCTAATATGAATTTACGCAGTGCTCGTCATTTCTATTGGAAACAGTCAGGTGATTTGGTGTTAAGTTATTTAGTTACCAAGGCAAATAATACTGGTAACAATAGTGCTACTACTAATACTATTGATAGTAATAATAATAATAATTCTATTTCACCATACTTAACCAACAGTTTACATAATCCCACAACTGTTACTTCCATTACTACTAGTATTCCTTCTTCCAACATAAGGAAAGAGGATAATATCAACAATGGGAACGGAACAGATAATAACAATGTGAAGAATGAGCATCAAGAAACCACTAGTGTCGCATCATCATCATCATCTTCATCAATGAGTATTCATAATTGATATAATTAATATTATTGCTACCGACAACCAATCCCACTTCACTTTTTTAAATATCATAACACCTTGATTAATTGGTGAATGGCTGAATCACAGTGTACCAAGGCTTCAACCCGAGAATATATATATATATATATATATATATATATATATATATATATATATATATAGAGAGAGAGAGAGAGAGAGAGAGAGAGAGAGAGAAAGGATTAAACATCACTCAATTGTATTACACGAGTAGGTAATTCTATCAACACAAAATTAAATACATCTACACGTTTACATTTATGTGTGTGTGTGTATGTATAAATTGTTTTTGTAAATTCATCTTGTTTTGTTTATCTGTTTGTTTTGTTTGCACGCCCACACACACACACACACAGATTTGTTATATAATGTATATGTGTAATAGTTAGTGTCTTTCATAATTATTTTGTTGATTTGTTTTTACCTTTCATCTTATCCCATTTTCATCATTATTATTATTATTATTTTTTGTTTTTGTTTATACTACCATTATAACAATATTTACCATTGATTTCATCATGTGTATGTGTTTAGATGTATTAAGAATAGTAGTATCATAAATGATTAAGATATAACAAAAAAAGAGACGATAAACAATACCCATTATTTACAGTGTAACAACATTGTAACATGAAACAAATTAGAAAAGAAATTGCCTATATTTTGGGGGGGGGATTTTCGATCATTCAACCATACACAGTCACACATACGAACACACACGCATATATATATATATATATATATATATATATATATATATATATATAAATTGATTTTTGTCTCTCTAAATTGTATTCTTGTATATTGATTAAAATGTAATAGATGTTCAGAATAATTGAACAGAAGAATAAATGTTCATCTACCAGTGATATACTACTGTTTGTTTGTTTGTTTGTTTGTTTTATTTTCTTTTATATTGAGTAGATAGATTGAAGTTGTTCAATATGACATTGTTTTAATTCACTAGATTGTTGTTGATAATGATGGTGTAATCTATCGATTATACATTTTATAGCTAAAAAGAATAAAAAATTAAGAATTTATAATTAAGATAACTTAATATTATAGAATATAAAAATTTTCCCTAAAGAATAATTAGTATTTTTTTTTTATCATCAAACATTGTCACCTAATTCTAGTTGGATGCCGGCTTAGTGGTCTAGTGGTTAAGCTCTGGAGCACGAGACTGACAAGTCCTGGGTTCGAATCTCGTGGATGCGCACTGCCAAGGAGTTCCACAATAGGACGAAACGGTTGTTCAGTGCTTTTAGGTTCTCTATTGTGATCTAGCTTCAATTGACTCATGATCTCAACCATTGTAATTCTAGTTTGTTCAATTGCCTGATTTACTTTACTCAGTTTCTACATTTATGTATAAATTAACTCATGTAATTTATGTTATGTATACAAAATCATTGTTTGGCTAAAAATGTAATGTTAGTAGGAATAAACATTAATTTGATCAAGGTTAGAAGGTTCCAAATTAAAATATGGTATCAACCCATAAATTTATGGATTACATGTTTGAGTTATATTTGTAGATACAGATTACGTGGTTGGGTTCTGTGCGATTATCGTGGCCGATAGTTGGACAATCAATCACAATGTTGCAGTTGAATTTATTCCTCATTTCGAATCACATTCTCTATGCCTAATTCCATTTTTTTAGATCACCAATATTGCTACTAATCCAGTTTTCATTTCATTGTAGTGATGTGGTGTAGTAATGTAAACGGATACACTTCTTTATAAAGGTCTATGTTTGTTCATGACTGACTGAAACAGTTGAAGTGATTAGTTAATCATTGTATCGATTGGTCTGATACTTGCTTATGATGAATAATCGGTACTTTTAATATATTTTTTTTATATTGATTATTTTATGCAGTGTACATAACGAACACCTACCTTCTTTTGTGCCATCACTTATTAAGAATAAGGCGCAATCAAATCGTGCTGTTTTACTCAATTGGATTAAAATATCGTAAATCCACTGACTATTATTGTCTAGAAAGATAAGATAGAAAATGTTTTGAAATAAAGTAATGTAGCAACAGATAAAGGCTTTTTAAATTGCTATAGTGAACAAGTCCCCTCTAATAATTTAATTGTCTTGTTCTTATTGATGTCGCTTTTTGTCTATTGATGTTATGGAATCAATTCATAACGTGGTAACAATATAATCTCTAACTGCTATTGAAATAAACCTAACTCAATCAGTATTTGTAGTCCTGTAAGCAGGATGACCAACAGTGTATAAATCTGTGCAATTATAGCAGTAAATCATATGTATATGACGGTTAATTTCTGGGCAGAATATGAGTAGCTCCTAGTGATTAATTTTCATTGAGTCCTTAAAGTTTCGAAATAGAAGATGATTAGGCAAAGAAACATTTCTTCATTGGTTGATAACTTGTATCTGTGGCATAGTGGCATAGAATATTGATATTTGAATAATTAGAAGGTAGAAGACATAATCGGTGATTACTCAGTGGAGATCAGTCGAAAACAGTCAATCGTTGAATTTTGGTACAGTCAGTTAGTCAGCTACAATGTTAGGAGCAGGCACATATATGCATCGGTCCAAGTTGAATTTCGGTACGGTACAAAAATAAATCACAGTGAAGGGTACATTTTGAAAGTTTTTGCATCGGTATATCTTCCACCAAAAACAGATTCTGTTGTTTGGCTAATTCATTTTGAAATCACCCATGAATGGAATATAATGCGAGTCAGTCAAATGTTTCTCTAACCAGATTATTAGTAATTGTTTTCAGTGTCTTGGAGGATTTTTTGTGATCTCATTTCAAATTTATAAACTTATCTTCTGATCCATTTACTTTAACGAACAATTAATAGTAGAAAAAGTTTTCTGAATCTAATTTCGTATCAAAAATTAATAGGACGATTAAACAATCACATCGTGTTGAAACCATGGACCAATCTAAGTTAGACCACCATTGCAGTTTTGGTGAGTAGTTGTAACTAGTGAGATTCAACCGTGTCAGGTGCAAGGCAGTTACTGATCGGACATAACGGAGGATGGTTGCTCAATATCGTGGCTTGGTTGAAGTTAGACATTAACACCACTGGATACCAGCTTAGTGGTCTAGATGTTAAGCGTTCGCGCGCGAGGCCAAAGGTTCAAGGTTCAATTCTCTCGTGCGGAATCGTGGGTGCGTATTGATGAAGAGTCCCGAAATAGGATGAAACCGCATTCTAGTGTTTGTAGGTTTCGAATGTTAGTCTAACATAGGTCAGTTCATGATTCCAATGAAGATCAACAATCTTCACAGCCCTATACTCAATATCTTATCATATAATTGAGTTGTAAAATGTTGCTATCAATTTGTCTACTAATTATTCTTTGATTTTCCAAATATGAAACTAATTCGAACAACAGTTATGGTCATAGTGCTAAACTTGCATATTCTTTGATTGAAAACAGGAAATTAAGTTATTTCTAATCGTAAGATGTTCATTTCATTTTTATCTACAGGATGTCAATCATGTTTACTTCACTAAATATCAGTATCCTAATTGATACTTAAATCTATCGTTTCAAATATCGAAATAGTATTCACCAATAAACTATTGAGACACAGTACACAAGTATCAGTTCTGGTTTAAATTTAAACCTTTCTATTATCCACTCATAAGACTAGTTATGTTGTGACTTTATGATCCACTAGTTATCACGTAATCTATTCGCCAATCAAAATACGACTTCTACTGTACTAAACCAATGACGTCCCGATCGGTTTGATCAGTCGGTTGCTCGCCTGGCCCGTCCAGCTGAGTCCGGAATGCCAATAACAGCCTCCACTATCCGAATCATTTATTTCAGACATTCCGGGTTTATATATCATAAAATAGGAAATAACATTTATACACAATAAAGCCAAGTAGAGGCTGTGAACTTGGGAGACAGTAATCAATAAACTGAGTATAAATTAAGAACAGTTAGTCGTACAAAAATAATCTATAGGTCAAAATGCAGCTAATAATAAGAGGAATATAGATATATACAATCTAGTTACTGTATAGTTATACCATAAGAATATATAGATAATATTAATCCATTAATAGGTCTCTTAAATTACTCGTAATGTAATCTTCATTAAGATATGACAAGTTAGTACAGGATTTTTTGCTGTTGATGTATGAACATCTTGTATGAATGTATCAATTGTACATGCTAATATATTTTGATCATATTTAGTAACTACTGCTTTAATATTCGCAAAATGTTTATATTTAGAATTGGATAGCTGATAATATCAGTATTCGTATAAATGTTAGAGGATAGTTGTTTAATAGTGTTTAGGGTTTTATTAGTTGTCGTGAAATTGCACATATTTGAAAAAAAATGTTTTCACTTGAACACTTACTTTTAGTATTCATTGAAAAATTGATTGCATTCAATAGATCATCTAACATCTCAGCTTCCATTCGAATTCCAATTACTGAAAGCGTAAATAGTTATACAGGAAATATTAAACAAATTTTTATCGTAGTTGAGAGCTAATCGATATAATTAAATTGGCATCAGAAGGGGTTTTTTGTGGATATTATAGTAATTTCAATAGTTGAGATCATGAGACAGTTGAAGAGAGAATACTATAGGAAAGGTGGAAGCACTGGACGAGCTTTTCGTTCTATAATGGGACTCCTCAGTAGTGCGCATCCAAGATCCCGCCTCTCGAGATTCGAACCCAGGACCCATCAGTATCGCGCGCGAGCACTTAACCACTAGACCACTGAGCCGGCATCCAACGGTTCTAATATTTAACTTAAACTAATCTACGAAATTGAGCGACACATCCATACTGTTGAGGAGTTCCACAGTAGGACGAAACGGCCGTTCAGTGCTTCCAGGTTTCCCGTGGTGGTCTAGCTTCAATTGACTCATGATCTCAACTATTGAAATTAAATTGGTGTTAACTTTATACTTTTATTTCGATGTCAACATTTTATCTCATTGTTGAATGAATCTAACTCTCAAGAATATATATATCACATTGAAATCTACTTGTCCCTGCTTTATGTTTTTCTACGAAAATTGATTTGGCTGTCAACTTAGTTAGGAGAATATTCACTTGATGTTGTTTGATTGTATGTTTCCATTGTTATTTAAGACTGCAATTGATCAGTCTCTTATTGATATATGTGCATCCTGTGCGGAATGCCTCGATATTGCCTGAAGTCACAAGCTTCATAAGCAAAGATGGATAGTGGCTAGCAGTGGAATCCAGGACGCGCGTTTCGTTTTGAAGCGAACGGTACTGGGTTCGAGTCTCAGAATGAACACCAACCCCGAGATGCAGGTACATCCAGATGACGAGTCCCATATAGGACGAAACGCACGTCAAACTGGATTCCACTGCTAGCCACTATCCATCTTTACTTAGTTAAGAAAATTTATATAAAATAAATGAACTTCATTTGGATTTGAGTATTACTACTCGATCGATGGCAAATTAATGCATATTGACCAAACACACTTTTATCCATCTTACATTCCTTAGCGAAATGAATGTAAATTATTTTCACTATGTGGTAGCTGTAAGAACTACCCAAGTTGCTTAAACTGAAAATAGAATGAAATTCAATTCTTACAGTTATATATTAGAAATCTTGTTAGAATAAAGAATTTGAGTTTGAATTGGTTGATAGATATAAAAAAAGTTGACGAGTGTAATTTACGAATGAATGATATAGAATAAAAAGAATTGTCAGATTCATCAATATCAATTTTAAGGTTATCAACCCAATAGTGTAGTACTGTGGTGTGTGCTACTTATGTAGACATAAGTAGTATATGATGTTATTCGTGAACAGAATGTCTGGCAGCAGTAAAGAATAAAAACAGAATGCAATTTGTATGAAAATGCAAGAACAATGAAGTCTGAGTCATTTGGAGACAATTGATGAACATTTTGCATATTAAGCATTTACTTTATGATTGTTAGATTTTATTAACATGTTCTGTAATTTTGTGTCAATGATAATCGATTGTCCCCACCGGTGTTCTGTTCACTACAAAGTAATTGGCAATAAACTATTGTAAATTTACAAATATAAAAACGCAATCCATATTTTATTATAAACAAAAACCACATAACTATTATTATGATATCATATTAGTTAAGACACCATGCTTCCCACCACCAAGTCATAGGTTCGAACCCAACTGCACAATATAATTTGGTTTTTGATGAACAACTCTATTGATGTCATTAGATCTCATTTGTGTAGTTTATAATTAAGTTAATAAATAAAATTAAGTCATCCATAGTTTGATTATTTTTTTTAAACAAATAGTATTATTTATTGGGGTGATCCAGAAAACTCGCAAAAGACAAGAAAGGCTCAGGAAACACTAAGAAGCATTTTATCCAATCAACGTTCACTTAAAGTTTAGCCAGAAACATTACTATAATGCTACTAAACATAGTAGCATTTCAGAATTTTCAGGAAACCCAAAGACATCTAAAATACTATAGAAACCCTATATTTGTATTAAAACGAACATTTGAAGTAAAGTGCTTCACGTATAGTTTTGGGCCTTTTCTCTCGTGTTCAGGTCACTGTATAGACCTAGCTTGGAGAGTTACGGAAATAGTTTAGGAAACGAATATAGCGTTCAATTAGCAAGATTAATCATTATTTTGAATTAAAAAACTACTCATTTCATATTACTTACATTTTGGTAATTGTTCAGGTAATATATTATTTAATAATGTTATAATTTCATTAATGGCGTTTCTATAATTTGATCGTTTTAAATGTTGAATATTTATCCAACAATTTTGAAATTCATGTGAAGTTGTTATTGGTTTATCTAAACATTAATATATGAAAAAATATAAGAGATGAATGTAACTAACTATTATATCACTTGTATATAAGTAATAATTAGAAATGTTTCATTCATTTGACAGAAAATTAATTTCAATAGTTGAGATCATGAGTCAACTGAAGCTAGATCGCAATAGAGAACCTGAAAGCATTGGACTGTTGTTTCTTCCTATTGTAGGACTCCTTCTTTGCAATGCGCATCCACGATCCTACCTTGCGAGATTCGAACCCAGGATCTATCAGTCTCACGCGCTAGTTCTTAACCACTAGACGATGTTAATGTATAACTTCGATCAATACACGAAATTGAGCGACACATCCACCATTGTCTTCAATGAGTTACTATCTCATAACAGACCCGGTTGAACTCCACTTGTCACTACTTCGCACTAGAACTCCAGGAAATTCCTCTCGAAGCCAGTCACTAGTGAACATATGTTAATTAATATCAGAAGGGATTATTTTGTCGATATTATAGTAATTTCAATGGTTGAGATCATGAGTCAATTGAAACCAGACCACCATTAAAAATCTGGAAGCACTGGAAATTCATTACATGATAATACTTGAACAAGTAATGACTATAATAATAACAACAACTATTCAATTTTGTTAATATTTAGTGTTATAATGTTGACAGGAGGAAGTGATTTATACATGTCTGTTATAGTGTAATTTAGTACAATACTACTTAAATTCTCTACAATCTAATAATTAAAATCTACAAGCAGCATTTGAGAATTGTTCCTTTCAAGAAGATAGAGGAATATATCAGTAGTATATATTTTCGATGTTATATGAATGGCTGTTATATTTTTTTGCATCATTTCTATATTCATTATTTCTTACACTAAAATAATCAGTGAGCTTAACGATTACTATATTGACTTCAAGGATATTTACAAATAATAAAATAAAGTGTTCTCATGTTTTGATGAATGATCCTTTGAAAATATTACTGGAATATGGTAAATACTAACGAGTCAATAGTGCTAAAAACTTTTAATTTCTACAATAAGTTACTTAATAAAATTATGTACTAATGTGGTGTGTACTACTGATGTCGACAGATATAAGTAGTATGTATCATTAATCAAAAGTGAAATATCTGGCAGCAAAACGTTGAGACGATAGAAGAAAAGAGAAAAAGAAAAGAGAATGATTACTGTGGAAACAAAGAAACTATAGAGCCTGAGACGATTGATTGACATTTTGCAAATGAAGTATTTATTATATAGTTCTCAGATCCCGGTTATGTTCTCGTTCACTACACTAATACAAGCTGAAATATTTAGGATGCATTTTCTAATGACTCTATGACTGAAACAACAACAAATATTATACGGAAATAAAGTACTTTAGTGTTAGCTTCTTAATAGAATACATGAGTAACTTATAGGTTTATTGTTGATCTCATTAACTAGTTAGGTGTATATAAATATAAACGGTGTATATAAAATCCTTTGTGATGTTTTGTTTTCTAAGGTAAATAATTTGATTGCACAGTTTTCATTATCGTTATAGGTAGCATCATTATTTCTGTTTACAGTTTAAAAAGTATCCACCTGAATTATACATTCTCTCTATTATTTAGGATTTATTGATTATATATTGGTGCACCAATCTTTGTTCTTGCTCTGTTTAAGATAATAAAGGGAACTATATGTGTCAGGTAAATACCTATCAAGAATAAGGTTTTAATTGTAACTCACTACTTAATAGTATTCAATAATACATACACTCAAGGTAATTTGTCAACATTCACTCGAATAATACTTGATATAAATGTTTAGTAAGTCAGTCAGTTGTAAACAATGTAGAACGTGGCACATAGGTGCATCAGTTCAAGCTACTATATCATATCAGAACAGCGAAATGAAATTATCAAAACTAATGCCAGAGTAGTAGATATGGTAACAGTGTCCGGTGTTATAGAAAAGACTAAACATAAACAATATATATTTGAGACTAAAGTTCTCAGGGTAAACAAAACATGGATGCATTTGTTCAATTGTGGCCAATTCTAAACCGTAACTTTTAATGAGCTTATAGGCATCAATGCCACGGTTAAACTTGATAGTTTCAAATAAATTGAGCACAGTAGTGTTAGCGGGACATAGATTGTATTGAAGCATGCTCAATGCACGATTGCTTTGGCGCACGCTGATTGGCTAACACTTGTCCAATAAACTCTAGTCGATACTTGGAGAATACTCTAGAAATATTCTCATATAAAAACTATAAATATACTAACAGTTTTCCTATTGTGCTTCTTCTTGTTTCCATCTAACCTTGTTATTTGGAATACAATATCCTTCCTGTTGAACCGTGTTCTGATTTGGGGACTTATCGAGTGAATCTGTGTCCAAGAATACTAAGCAATAGAAATAGCTGGGTTATAACCGTAGAGAGAAATATAACAATTAGGTAGGAAGTTAATAATAGATATACTTTTGTTATATCCTAATGAGTAGGAAAATTGTATTTCTGACGTTTTTTGACTCAGTGTAAACTACTTCTTTCATTATCTTCAACCATTGGTTATAATAGTCGCGCTAACCTCAATCAGTTAACCTTCATCTACTAACATGAATCAGTCCAACAGTCAATCACTTTATGGACTGATACCACATTATATAAACATAACTAAATAATATATTGAAACATTAAAAAAATTTTACTGTTTGAGAACATTGTTGTTTGTTTATCTTAGTCTAATTCATAAACTATACAAAATGTTGAAATGTTGGAGAAGATTTGTAGCTTAGGTGGATAATTTTAGTGAAGTTTTGTTCTCTGAGATGGATGGTTTGCTCGTGAAGGTTTCATCGTTCTTCCAAACAACATCATCAGCACAAACTTCAAGTAAAACTTTTCTACTTGATCATCCAGCTCAGAGAACAAAACTCCATCAAAAACTATACAAAATTAACATTATTAGTAACAGTTATCTTACCTAACTTCCATCTACTGTCAATAGTCGAATTTATACTACTTGTATTAACAATCTTTGTATCTTCTTTATTGATAAGATTTACTTCTTCCCATTCATTATCAATTGATTTAGTCATGATATTTGCATTATTTGGTTGAAATTTAGAGAAATCATTTAGATCTGTAGAAATATGACATATTGGATTAATATTATTACATTGTATAGATGATAGTTTATCATAACTTTCATCATTCTCTTCTTCTGCTTCCTCTTCTAATATTTCACCATTGTTGTTGTTGTCGTCGTTGTCGTCGTCAACATCGTCATCATCATGAATATTGTCATCATGAATATTATCTTCTTTTTCACTGTCAACATTTGGTAATTCAACTATTTCAAGATCTGATGTAGTACTGATTGTACTTGTAGTTATGACTGTTTGAGATTTATTAATTAGTGTATCAGTGTTCATTTTCTGTTTTATTAAATAAGTGAAAATATAAAAAAAAATATAGGTGATTTAATAAGATTATTCCTAAAATCAATTAAATTTTAAGGATAGATTTGTATAGAATAACTTCTGTTTGCATACAATGTATTCATGATAAGATAATGGAAATTATTTTATGATAACTAACTAGAATAGATGTGAGCTATAGTATTGGCATTGAAATATCCATGGCGGTTGTTATTATATGATTCAATGTCATTCAATTAAAACAAGATGAAGTTAAACGTTTACTGAGATAGCTGAATATCCTAGATCCAATTCCTGATGTGGTTGTATATACCCACAGTTGAGGAGTACCATACTAGGACGAAACATTTGTTTAGTATTTTGTAGTTGTCGTTCATTATCCAATTAAGGTCAGGCAATAATGTGAATTATAAAAATGAATACCATTCACAAACCCTCCATGTCAATGAAACTAAATAAGTTTTGTTTTCTGACATTTGTTTACACCGATTACCACGACGTGCAATGTTAACCGGTGTTTGGGATGGTTGGAAGAAAGTTAAGGGCGGTTAAACTAAAACGCATCAGTGCATGAAGACACTAACTTCTAGTCTGAGCATGTTGGTAGATGCAGACTACTTGGTTGGGGTCCGCGTGTCTATCGTAACGAATAGTTTTAGACTCTTGGTGACATGGCTCAAGATTGATCACAATGGCGTCGGTGTATACACTCTCTGTCTTCCCTTAAACTATGAGATTAAAATCGCTTCATATCTTTCTTTCTACGTAATAATTCTTTCTTCCTATACTATATCCTTATATGCAATCTTTCTTTTATATATTACCACCATTGACTTAACTACTCCTATGAATCCGGTGTTCATCTTGCTGTGCTAATGTGGTATGGCAACTTGGACTGATGCATATATGTGCCTGGTCCTACGTTGTAGCTGACTGACTGACTGTGTTTACACGTTTCATTACTCCGAACCTACTACTCTAATTTCAAGGACTGAGACCGTGTATTCTTTGATTAATTTATCCTAGATCAGCACTGACAAACAAATAAGATAAATTAATATTAACGTCATTTAGCTTAGATAAATATACTTCAATAATAACAAAGTGGATACATATTAGTAAAAGTGGAACTAAGGCAAAGTGAACATAGAGTGCCAGAAGAAAAAACTGGAAAGATTAGGAATTAATAAAATATTTAAGATACTATGAAGTGAATTGGATTTCTTTTACTCTAACCAGTTTTGAACCATAGTCAATGAAGTTTATAACTAACGAATTCCACAGTCAGACAAACTTTTATTATAAAACGTCAACTCACCAATAAGGTTAACACTGATAATCAATGAATATATAGATTGTTTTTATCATTCATCATTCAGTATTTCCTAATTCTAAACTTCCTCTAACCAGTAAAGTATCATGATTTAGGTAGAGGTCAAAAATGTATACCCTAATCGTTGAAATGCTTCACTAAGCTTCAAACGACATGATTCAATAAAAACCAAGTAGGGTCCATGTATCGTTGGTGAAATTTTATCAAGAAACTCTTAGTGCTCTTATGTCATAATCAGAACATAGAAAAAGCAGGTTGAAATTCTTCGACACTAAAAAGCTTTTTTAAACCCACGAGTTCAAAGAGGAAATTAGCACTCTACACTTTTAAAGTAGACTAAATCTAACAAACTTCCATTGACAGTACAATTTATAGAACACATTATTAAATTGGATTCGCTAAATGTATAACATAAAACATACTTTGTACAAAATCAATAGACTGTACTGTTGAAAGGTCACAAAACGAGCGTCATGTATGACATACGATATGATCTTCTGCTTGATACGATTCTACTACTGGATAACTAGGTACTTGATACAACATTATATTGCATTTAGGATCAATACGAATTGACATTAGATAATAAGGCACATTGCTAAACTGGGTGCTCGATCAATACTCAGGATCTCTGGATAATGGATCATTATACTAAGACACTCATAATTAGATCAACGATTGAGAACTAGATCAGACTAGATTATATTTTATGGATATACATTACGAGCAATCAACAATGAAATGACATTACAGTATTAATATAGTCGCATATATTTAGCATAGCTGTACGTGTCTATCTATTAACATCTTGCTTTCACTGACAGATCAGTATTTTGTCATTTTAAAAGATACCCCAACACATTAATCTATTAAGATTCCCAATCATCACTTCAACATAAACTATCATTATAAAAAGAAACTTACATCCGTCTGCATCAAAGTATTCTGTATGTTCTTCATTTCTTCAATAATTCTATTATTATTTGGACTTAAATTATATGCTTTCTGTAAATCATTTAAACATCCTGAATAATCACCTAGAAACTGGAAAATTCAATAAATGATCAAAGAAACAACAATACAGTAAAATCAATATTCGACACCATACAATGTCCATATCTTTAAATCAGTTAAAAGGGGGTCATCAACTAGGAAATATACCACAATTCACCACTTTTTTTTCAAAGTTTATTTGTAATTGGAATTTATTTTTTATTATTAGAACAATATAATATATAAGTGAAAAAAAGGTGATAAAATAATTTATGGACGACCTTTGAGTGACGCTAAAGTGACCTTGAGAGTGTTCATCTAATAACCAGAACCAAATGAGGGTTAAAACCAGTGTAAGAAATTGGGATTATGATTTACAGTTGATAGTTAAGGTCAAGAATTAGATTTAGTGTATTCATCACGAACTGACATCAGCTATAATGATAAAACTCTACTTATCCAAATGGATGAGTGAATTTCGTGCCAAAATCTAAGACCTGTTATCCTCAATCTGATTGGCTCATCCATAAATTATAGTCCCACCGTGAAAAAAATATCGTTTTCAATTATATGCTTATCAGGCTTTACTCTAGTATACAATAATATTTATGTTACCATTGATTTATAAACTGCCTTGATTGGTTTAATCATATCGTATATGGATATAAATATTTTTTGTATATTAGATTAAATCCTGATGAAGATCTAGTTCAAAACAATATTATTCGCTTATATAAATTGTTCTAATACACAATATGGGGATGAAATATATTAAGGATGATAATATTATCCGGGCAGTTTAATTTTAAGTAAATGGAAACAGGCTTTAAATTTTCAATTTAATGGTTCAAGGTAAAATGAATAATCTATTATGATAATAATCTTATCCAAATAATTATTTGTTACAGTAAGCTGTATAGCAGTCATACTGACGACAATGTTCAATTGTGTTAGTAATTTCAATAGGCAACCATGGAAAACTTGTGAACACTGGACGGCCGTTTCGTCCTATTGTGGGAATCCACAGCAATAATAATTATTATTTATTTTGAGAATCAATAATGCTATTGACTTGAACTACTTATACTACTTGGAACAAAATAAGTAGTTAAATGTTATTTAAAAAATTCCATCATAAGAGATTACGCATTATATTTTATTTTTAATAGAAGTATTATTTAATCCAGTTATATGATCCATTATTATATTTATAGTATTTTGAGTGTTGAATCTCTGAAGGAATAGAATGATACAAATACATCTTGAGTTTAAGTACGAAAATAGTTCCTTGGATATGAATAAAATTTAAATTTACATTTGAATGTGACGTAATATGGGATACCTCAAAAATGCGTAGTTGTACATTCACACAAGAATAGATCTTACCAACAACGCGGAATGTTATATAGCACTCAGTAGGGATATGGTGGGCGAGACTATAATTTATGGACGAACCGATCAGATTTAGGATAACAGGTCTTAGATTTTGGCGCGAAATTCGCTCACTTATTTGTCTAAATAGAGTATTGGCATTTTAACTTATCTCAGTTCGTGACGACAACCATAAATCTAAATCCTAACTCTTACCATCAACTGTAAATCATAATGTTTATTCTTTACATTACTTCATAACTTTCATTTAGCTACAGTAAGTATGTGGACTTCCTCAAGATTACTTTAGCGTCTCTCAAAGGTCGGCCATAAATTATACTCTCACCACATGGTATTTAATTGTTCGATCGTTTTCCATGGTTGACATCACTTTATGGTGCAAAATGCTAGCAAAATAATTGTCTTGTTGACTATGACAATAACAATTCATTTACCAAATCCATTACTGTATTTCTCACACAATTTTGGGACCATTCATGTCCTAAACATATTAAACGTTCAGAAAGCCAGATGTATGGTCACGGATACCTTTATGTAGTTCATATCACGGACTGACTATAGCTAAATATTCCCAGAAAACCAGGAAGCACTAAACAGTTATTTCGTCTTAGTATCTGTTTCAGGCTTAGCATTGAGCGCTTAACTTTCATACCATTAAATTGGAATCCACCCGTCAATAATTTGAACATTAATTATATCGGGTTGAATCGGTGCTTACTAGCCTCCAACGGTTGCTTAGCTACAGTTAACCTGTGATGTAAACTACACAATTCAACAATTTTCACAGTCCTTTTATTATTTTCTATTACTTAAATTAATAAATCATGTGATTATGCAAATAAAATACCAAACTACAATGTGTCACACTTTATAAATCTCAGTGGGTACCAATCTAGAACATTTTCCAATAACAGACCCAGGAGTTAGTTGAGATTGACAACGAAACAAATCAAAACATAACTAACTATACTCGGAACTAACTCTTTGATAAATCATGAATAAAATTATACGCAATAATTCAGTATTTCATGAAGTCATTGGTTTAAGCTGCGTAGATAGACGTAGACAAATTGGTTTAGTTCTACATGATAACCATAATTATGAGGCAGAAACATTGGATGGAATCGTTCAGAATCGGTAACAATAGAGCTGACATATTTAGTCATTTTCTAGCTCTGAATTTGGAGTCCCTGTATATAAATCCTTTCAATTAATGTTTTCAAATAATAATCTCAGTTTTCAATTTAATTTATCATCATTATTATTACATTATTTAGATTATTCTGCTCTTGATCATTTTTCAAATTCATTTCGTTGTACTTATGTAGTATAGGGACTTCAATAAACGTATATACCTGACGTGTTCTACATTGATTATAATTGATCCAATGACTGATAAAACAATAGCTTTTCAGTTTTTAGATTTTATCTCTTTTATCGCATTGTTTTAACAGACTCATTAAACAAATCATTTAGATATTGCACACTATTATTAATGGGTATTTATGTAACTAAAATGGTTGATTTATAACATTATAAGCAGAGATGGATGATGGCTAGCAGTAGAATCAAGGGCAAAGCGTTTCGTCCTACTTGAGATTCGTCAGATGGTTTGACTCGAGTTCAAAAGTTGATATCAACTTCATAATTCGAAATCGGTACCGTTAACTACAAACACCACCGCATTACTGGGTCCAAATACTTATTGCCTTGAATAGAAGGATGAATTCTGCCTATAGTGTTTGTGGCTTAATGGTCCTAACATGGGAACCTGTACAAGAGACAACATCTGTTTAAAGGGACTGATCAACTTCAGTTCTATACACCAATGAGAAGATTCATATAATTAATACAAATGAATTAAATCAACACTACTTACCTTTAATGCTAATGCTCTACGATACAATGCAATTGGACAATTAGATTCAATTGATAAAGCTGATGTACAATCATTACATGCTAGTTCATATTCATTTAATTGTAAATAAATCAATGAACGATTACGATAAATAACAGCTAAACGTTTGTCATGATTTAAATTGTACTTTAAACAAAGTTCAATGCATTTATTGAAATATATTAAAGCCAATTTCATATTTCCCTAGTAATTAAATAATAATAATAATAATAAAGACAATGAATAGATATTTGTCATAATAGAAGAAATGCTACATAATTATGAGTGTATAGTTAATGGCTTGAATTGATGCAATTAATATAGCTTAAATTTGGATTCCAATTATTTGACACAATGTCTAAATGAATGAATGTGAGAATATACAGGTTGCTTCATCAGTAGAACTGTGTCATTCTATACAGTGAAAATTATATATATATATATATATATATATATATATATATATATATATATATATATATATATATATATATATATTAGTGTTAATACGTATTCAAAGGTATTGAGTCTATTTCTGTTGATTACTTCACTATGCGATTGTTGAAGTAACTGGATAGCTGTTTTATCCTGTTATGGGATTCATCAATAGTGTAAATTTATGAACTCCTGAGGAGTCAGTACCAGATGACTCAGACCTTGCAATGAGATATTAACCTACAGATAATAAGGCTGCCATCTAATGGTTAAAATTTCTTACTTCACTTAATTCACAACATTATACGCCTAAATTATGAAATATAATGGATGGGTAACTGCCAAGTTTTTGACATAGTTGAACCCGGTTAGTAATAGTTTCTCACAAAATCTCCAAGAAGTACACTTTTAAAATAGTTACTAATGAGTTTTGTCTTGTAAATAATTTTAGTAATACAGTTATACAATAAACACATTACAATTTTGAAATGGTGGAAGAGTTTTATTTTCTGAGCTGGATGGTTTGGTCATGAAGCTTTCATTGTTCATTTGAACGACATTATCAGCACAAACTTTAGGTTGACGTCAAAAAGCAGTGAATTTTTTGAATGCATTTACATTAATCTTTTGGTAGGACATTGAATTTTTCCCCCATATGATAAGTACTAGTTAGACTACTTTAATAAAAGAAAATCAATTGAAATGAAGAATAAACAATTGTCAACGATGTATTTTTTATCAGTTAAAAGCAGTGACTAGTGGAGTTCAACCAGGTCTGTTGTGAGATATCAACTCACTGAAGACAATGGTGGATACGTCGCTCAATTTCGTGAATTGGTTAAAGTAAGACATTAACACGGTTGGATGCTAACTGGCTCAGTGGTCTAGAGGTTAAGTGATAAGTCTTGCAGTTTGAACGCTACACTCCGTTCCTAAGCTATTCTTGTAACCCCCAAGCTAGAACTATACGGAGACCTGAACACAAGAGAGAAGGTGCAAACATGTGAAAAGTACTTTACTCCAAGGTTCATTTTAATACAGAATCTCTACATGTGACGTTTCACATCCTCGATGTTTCTGGCTAAACTCCAAATGAACGCTGATTGGATGAAATGCTTCTTAATGTTTCCTGATCCTTGAGTGTCTTTTGCGAGAATTTTTCTGGATCATCCGAACATTAAGCCCTCGCGTGCGAGACTGATAGGTCCTGGGTTCGAATCTCGCTGAGGAGTTCTATAATAAAACGAAACAGCCGTCCAGTGCTTTCATGATTTTCATGGTGCTCTAGCTTCAATTAAACCATAATGTCGACTATTAGAATTAAATTAACTTCTTTAAACTGGGTTATATGGTTATGTGACATGAGCATAAACAACTAAGTTATTTATAATGTTTAACGATAATCATGATTGAATACTGATTTGCTAAGTAAAACGTAAGTTTATTTTAATATCATTTGACTATATGTTATTTTATAAATATGAGATATTATCTGAGAGTAAAGGAGGTATAAGAAAGCTAAAACTACTAGATTATGAATACATATAGAGCATTTTTGATGCATTATGAAATACTCAAGTGAATGATGAAAACATAGAGATTGTTCAATGTAAAGTTGTTTGAATATTTTATACAACAGTGGTGTATGCCACTTATATCGACAGACATAAGTAGTATGTAACACCAATCAGAAGTGTAATGTCCAGTTGACAAGATTGAAATGAAGAGGACAGGTAATGTAAACAGGGATTAATTGTAATAACAATGAATGAACGATGAAGTTTACGATAATTGATGAGATATTTGCAAATGAAATGTGTAATGTATGGTTTTTCATATTTTATGGAAGAACTATATAATTGAGCAGTATTTATTTATTTATTTATTTTAACACATAAGTATAGGTACAAGGAGGCACCAAGTACATATGCGCCACACGAATCTCAATTGATTTGTGTGAGGGCTGTCATACTGCCCGGGTGCCCAAACCGAAGCACGTGGTTGTCTTAGGGGGCCACACCCCGAGCCTTCGACCTGAACGTCTAACCCACAAGGCAGTGGAGCATCGTGAGGAGATGCAGTCCCATGGTAGCCGGTGACCAACGACTGGTTCATACGCCATTTATTCCTTCAGGATACTGGAGCCCATGTGCACCATTGGTTTGGGATCCGGTTAAAGCGCCGGACATTCGCTTTTCGTCCTCATTTTCGTAAACACCCCAGCAACGAAAAGGCAGTGAGTAGGACTTCCCTGTCAGAGGCTGTATACGCGCGGTCATGTGAGAGCATTTCGAGAGGGAGAGCGGAATCCCCCCACTCTCGGCCGTACCAGGGCATTTGGGGGCAATTGAGCGGGGCAATTGAGCAGTAACAATCAAGTGGTTAACCTTACCAATTTTTCGGTCACTACACAACTTTCATATTTTATTGTAGACATCTTTAGTCCAATAATAGTTGCATAGATTCATTTTTAATAAAAATAGAAACAACTCTATGACTTTTACGTCATACACTAAGGTAGAATTTGATTTTTGCATTTTACTACAGTTTCCTTGTTGATTAATTCAAAGTGATCATCCGCATTTTTATTGATTTACATAATTACACTTTATTTGATCATATTGAAAAGATATACAAAAGCCATCAATGATGTATACTATGGTTTATTGAAGCCTTGGCTATGCGGAAACCTCTCAACCCTTAACCTACCCTGGTAATATTGATTTATTATCCAGAGTGGTAATCACATTGTTTTTGTGTACTTTATTATTATCAGTAGGGGTTTTGTGAAGAATTTAGTAATTTCAATAGTTGAGATCATGAGTTAATTGAAGCTAGATCACCATGGAAAACCTGGAAGCTCTGGACTACCGTTTCGTCCTATTGTGGGACTCCTCCTTGGCAGTGCGCATCCACGACACCGCCTCGCAGGATTTGAATCCAGGACCTACTGCAATGTCTGTTATTATTTTAAGCCCATATATCTTATTCTAGCTTTCGGAAAGCCTAATCTGTTCATTCTAATTGAGTCACATTCTAACATTGTTAATTATTCACTTATCAACTTTGACTGTTTTTATATGAGCGCGTAGGTGTATGTATACTTCTTATCCCATTACTCACCACATGTCTGTAACTTATTTTTGTGTGCTTATAAATATTGATTAATTCTTGGCTATAGGGGAGTTGGCTTACCCGCCATCTCTACTGCGCGTCGTTTCTCTTCTCTCTATTCCGCTCGCTTCACATACAAAATGTATGTATTCAAAAGTCCATTCTCGTTATTTGACTTATTTAATTCCGTTATTGACCAACGCGATTTAAGTCAATGATTATATACGAGGATAAGTGCATATATACTTCCACAACGATCATTCATACGATCTACTTGGAGCTAGATCCACGAGCCACTAAAGTGGAGAGCCTTTCGACAATATCGTCCGATATAGTTGACATCTAAATAAAGGGCCCCACACTACAATAGGACGAAACAACTGTTCAGTGCTTTCAGGTTTTTCATGATGGTCTAGCTTTAATTGAATCATGATCTCAACTATTGAAATTACTTTATTATTTTTTTTCTCTGTTACGGCTTACTTTAAATCTATCTAGATAACCTTTTAATTTTCATGTATAATTTCCTGACAACAAAGTTAAGTATGTAATTTGAAATATCTTTTATCAGTATTATACATTCATAACTACAGGAAGCTCTTAACTTCATTTGACCTCGTATATCTGGATTAAGTCCAGTAATGAAAATTGAGGAATTTCATTTATTTTAATTTATTGAACTGGATGGTAAAAATTGTGACCATCTTATTGTCTTCCTGGACAATATCATCAATACTTAATTCAAGGAATGAAATTGATAAATCTAATTCTAATAGTTGAAATCATGAATCAATTGAAGCTAGACCATCATAGAAAACCTGGAAGCACTGCACTACCGTTTCGTTTTAGTATGGGACTCTTCAGCATTGCGCATCCACGATCTCGCCCCCCCTCGCGAGATTAGAACTCAGGATCTATTAGTCTCGCGTACGAGCGCTTAACCATTAAACCACTGAGCCGGCATACAACGATGTTAATGTCTAACTTCAATTAATCCACGAAATTGTGCCACCGTCACCATTGTCTTCAGTGAGTTGATATCTCACAACAGACCTGGTTGAACTCCACTGGTCACGGCTTCTAATTCTGTATAAGAGGAATGTTAAACATTACAAATAACTGCTATCTGAAATATCATTTAATTAATGTGACATTTAAAAGACAATAAGCCTTATTGAATATTAAGCTATTAAGAACATTAAAGAGCTATAATACTTGTAAAACTATTTATCAAGCGATATTTGCTTACTTTGTATTCATAGAATAACATAGAAATTAGTAAAGAACCTAATCATTGGTACAATTAAACGAAAAGAGTATTTTCAGAAATCTTTGAAAAACTTTATCTTTAAGTAATGACAAACTCTTTGGATATTTAATGCTTGGTATTATTTGTCTTTTGTGAGGTCATCATGAAACAAAATTTCTTATTAGTTGGATCTTGTCAGCAAGATTTATTTGTAATCTTGAAGGAACTGATGATTCCTGGTGAATTTTTATACACTTCATACAGTTTTACAGTGAATAATTAATTGTAAGTATCTCAGTCCTATAAGAGATTGTTTGTGTACCAGATTATGAAATTGATTGATGCTGGTTAGAATCAATTCAAAAGTATTACAAGTACAATTTTTCAACTGGTGTGAAATCCAGGTTCAGAGTTTCATGTGAACTAATTTCAACCAACTTTTCAATGTACCATGTCTTACATATAATTTACTTTAAAGAATAATTATAATGCATATTATCATTCAATTTGTGTGAGAGCTGGGATACTACCCGGGTGCCTAAACCAAAACAAATCTTATTACTGAAAAGTTATGAAAATTTAATAAATACCTTTTTAAAGAATTCATTTCCTTTTTGTTTTAACTCTTCATAATCAACGATAGAATATGTACTTTTAGAATTCTGAAAAAAAAAAGAAAAAAGAACAAAGAGAAAATTTTAGAAGAATGATAATGTTACATAATATTATCATTGATCATTCTAGAGAAACATGTTAATGGAAGATAATCATTTAAGCATTCAATAAATAATTAAAAATGTTCATGATTTGAATGAATACAGTGGTCTTGAGTGTTGTTAGAAGTATGAGAGCGGTTATCACTTCCCGGTTACTCACACCATGGAAGGGTTCTTTTAAAGATATTTGAAAAAGAAATGAGATGATAGGTGATTTTAGTGATCTGATAACGTGACTGGAAATACTCAAGGGACAACTGCCTGATCCTACATTGTAACTGACTAACTGGTTTTAAATTCTAGTATAACTAAGACCGATAATTAAGTGACTTTTTAAAGGGATTGAGTACATATTTTCTCTTGAATCTATGAAATCAACTATTTATTTAACTCATTAAACTTTTATTCATTTGGTAAAACTATCTAACTAGATGTATTGGTAGTGATATTCTTGACGGTAAATTTTCTATTATAATACAGAATAATAAATCGAGATGGTATAGAAGATTTATAGCTTAGATGGTTGATTAAACGTATTGTTTTGTTCTCTGAGCTGAATAGTTTTGTCGTTTGTGTTGATGATATTGTTCAGAAGAGCAATGAAAGCTCCACGATCAAACTATCTAGCGCAAAGAACAAAACTCCACCTAAAATAACAAATTTTTACTAGATGACTTCAATCTTAGATTATAATATTATTATGCAATCGGGGAGAATTAATCAATGAAATAGATATTTTTCATAACAAAACTTTCTAATCCTTCATAATAATACATATTCATAAATTGATGAAACAGTTAAATGTGATATTATTATGGGGCTGTGGAGATTATTGAGTTTTTGGTTAAGATCATGAATCGATGAATGTTAGACCACCATTGAAAACCTGGAAACACTGAACGGTCGTTTCGTCCCAGTATGGGACTCCTCAACAGTGTGCATTCACGATTCCACACGTGGGATTCGAACCCAGGACTATCCATTTAATCTAAACGTTTAATCTCTAGACTAATGAGCAGGCATTCAACGGTGTTAATTTTTAACTTTAACCAATCCAGGAAATTACACCACCATCTTTCATTGTCTTCATTGGGTAACTGACTCACACCCGAAAGGGATTCTTGGTTTGTGATATACAAAAAAAGAAAGTAGAATTTGCCTTTATTAACTACATGACAACTTATTTGGTTAACACAGTTAAATAATCTCAAATTTCACATTGTAATTAATCTAGAATATTAACTGAATAATAATGAGAATATTTCTACTTACAATCGACACTTCATCATTTTCTAAGTGCTTATTGACTTCAGATTGACAATACATATCTCCATTACTAAATGCAGTTATTATATCTTCATTATTATTTGTATCAACTTTGGAGCTATAACAAACATTTAAGCTAGATTCTTGTTTATTAATATCAATAGTAGACATGTCAGTCAATTGAATATTATCATTTTTGTTAATATCAATCTTGAAATGATGTTTTTCACAATCAATATCATTATTATGATGTTCAATTCGATTTAGATGATTTCTTGAAAGCTCCATTTTATTAGTATTCACTGTCACAATTTCTTGTTCTTGTATGTGTTGTTGTTTTTGTTCCTGCTGCTGATATTCATTTTCTTCAACATTTTCATCACTCTCATCATCATCATCATCATCCGAAGAATCACCGACATCAGTTATGATCATACGTCTAGATCCTTTCAAATGAGGTTCTTGACGTTTTGATATTGCAATTCTCACATTACGTAATAAATTCTATGATAAAAAAGTAATGTATTAATTCAAATCTCATTAGAAATAAGTAATTTGACCATATCAACTTTAGCAGTAATTAAAGATACATTGATATGTACTTAGATAATGAATAATTTTAAATATAAAATAAAATCCGCAACCTGTAGCCAATCAGGGAGAGCTCGAATAGTTCAAACAGACTGAAAAAATCAATATACTGGATCATAGCTGTTAGAGAAATCCAAAAAGCATGTATCATACCGTACATATATTGCTAGTTTGTTGAATCCGTACATTATTATTAATCTTTACAGTAAGATTTAAATCTAGTACTTATCATTTCAAATGTAAAGGTGTTTCACATTAGGTCAATAAAACAACATAGGCACTGACTTGCGCAATAATTAGAATTATTCCCACTTTTCACTGATACCTAAACAGATTTTGATCTATGACAAAAACTATTGTGGACCGCGTGGTGGCTACTCTAAATTCTATCGATTGACCAACTGCAGATATCCCAGTACGACCCCAATACTGTTCCCCAATCTCCAATATATCAGAACACGAACCGTTAGATGGAAATTGTTTATGGGGTCAGGAGTAGAAGAATACTTTACAAACAAATGCATATTTATACAGTTAGGAGAACTGTGAAAATTGACCAATAGGAAAATGACACGTGAAATAAATATTGACCAATTGGAAAATGACACCATTTCACGTTCAAGCATAGCATTAAACTTAACAGGATAATTTTGGGGATATTTTTCTGAATATCCCAACAAAAACGTTCTTCAAATAAAAACAATTCAACTAACTTGAGCTTTAAAATTTGTTGGATCTTGATCAGTAAGTGTACTTAAGTCTTTTTCAGCTTGTTCTAAATTATCTAATTCGAAATTTGCTTGACTTCGTCTAAATAATGCTGAAAGAAAAAAACAGAAATCAATTGATAAGGAAGTTTAAAAAGATTATGATAAGACTTTATCTAAAACGAAGGCGAGTTAGTACCCCAGTATAGTTTTGATTTATATCTCTTTTGTGAGCTAGCGATAATATACCGCCATTTGAATAGAATTCAATTAGTCACCTGTATGAATGATTGTTGTCGAAATACACATCTTGACTATTCTTGTATACAATTATCGACTTAATCTATGTCGGTGAATAACGGAATTAAATAAGTCAAAGACGTGAAAGTATTTCAAATACGTATATTTAATTCAATCGTTGATCCAGCAGTAGCACCAGGCGGGCTCAAGGAGGACAGCTAGGAGACAGCCGGACGATATAGATTTCGCAGATCATCTGGATCTTCTATCGCACACCCAACAACAAATACAGGAGAACACCACCAGTGTAGCAGCACAATCAGCAGCAGTAACACTCAACATACACAAAGGGAAAAGCAAAATTCTCCAATACAACACAACATGCAACAATCGAATCACACTTGACGGAGAAGATTTGGAAGATGTACAGCTCTACTGTATGTGACGGAAACCTGGAGAACTACGAAAGACATCATCCAGAAGATACACGTGTTTATTAACAACTGTCTACGCAAAATACTTCGGATCCGTTTGTCAGACACTATCAGCAACAACCTACTGTGGGATAGAACAAACGAGATCTCAGAAGAGGAAGAAATGAGGAGGAAGCGATGGAAGTGGATAGAAGACACATTGAGGAAAGCACCCAACTTCGTCACAAGCGAGCTCTCATATGGAATCCTCAAGGCCAAAAGAGAAGAGGAAGACCATACAACACAATACGCCAAGAAATGGAGACGGACATGAGAATAATGAACAATAGGATAGAACTAGAAAAGAAGGCCGATGATAGAGTGGGCTGGAGAATGCTGGTCGGTGGCCTATGCTCTAGTGGGAGTAAAAGTGAAATTCAATTCGATTCAGTTAACAGCTATAGACTTAAGTAAATAGAGATAGCTTTCAACTAATAATAGAAGTAAAATTCTAAGGATCAAAGAGATTAAAAGTGAAACTTTTAAACAATGTCACTTTTAATCAAAATTAACATTTTGTTACTAAGATACATACCTCCATTTCCCTTAAACGTTTAAAATAAAATGAAAAAATCATTAACAGTAACATAAATATTTTACCATAACGCTTTAAAGATACCAGTCATTTTAATATTGGCTACTATCATACATAACTAGTTTTGTATATATATCTATATATATCTATATATATATCTATATCTATCTATATATATATATATATATATATATATATATATATATATATATATATATATATATATATATATATATATATAACATTTACCGTTAATTACAATAGTTTCCTAGAATACAGAAAGAAACGTAATAATTCAAGGAAAGTATATGTAATAACGGTTGGATTTCCACGTTTAAACGTATGGGACGTTAATTTACTTCAGACGAATATCTACACTAGATTCCCTCCCGGTGTCTATTCTACAGGACTTCCACACAACTCAGATGATCAAGAACACATGATTAGCCTGACTAGAACGTAAGTATATTTCCACACCAAAAACCCGACACAATCCAACAATAATGAACAATCAATAATAACTAATAATAAGGATAGGGGAATATATATATATATATGCGAGGACGGTCCATGGGTGAACTCGAGGAAGCTGTAAGAAGCTTAGAAAGAGCCGAAGATATTCCATTCAATCACCTTTTGGAAGAATATTCTAAAATCTCTACGTGTAGCTTCCCTATTGGACAAGTGCTAATAATCCCTTGTGTGCGGATTGAATAGCTATAATGATAATTTCGTTTTTATTAAAAACTATAAATACCTGACAGTTTTGTACCATAATTGACACTGTCTGGAATAACATTCCCTTCACTTGTCTTCTATCGTCTCATTGGCGACTTGTGAGTGTTCTATCGTTCGAGTGCTGAAGTCATACGCGATATATTAAGAATATAAGCTCTAGATACAACAATAATTCATCTAACACCTTTCAGACTATTTACATGTTTGGCTAAGCAAACAACCAATCATTATCATTCTCGTCCACATATCAGTATCAAAATAAAGAATTATGTCAGAATTCATTTTGTCACCAAAATTATTTTGATAGTAATTATAAGTAAATAAGTTTGTTTCAATAAATAAAGATAATCATTATTATTTCAAGGGAATTAGGATTGTTTTCTTCCTGAACAACAACAACATTATTATTATACATACCTTTTTTTCACGGAGTTTTGTTCTTTGAACTGGATACTTTAGTCTTGGAGCCTTCATTGTTCTTCTGAATAACATTATCAGCACAAACAACCAAACTATTCAGTTCAGAGAACAAAACTCTCAATATCATCCATCTAAGCTACAAATCTTCTTTACCATTATACATACCTTTCAAATTATCTGGTTCAGTTTTTAAAACTTTTGTACAATCATTTACTGCTTGTTTCCAATTTTTCTGTCGTAAATCTGATCAAATTGAATAAAAAGATTGTTCACAGAATGTAAAAAGTTGAATCATAAATGAAAGTGGAATATCGGATCAAAATTCATTAAGTTAGTTAGCAACAACGTAGAACTTCGTACGTACATACATCAGTTCGAGTTGTCATACCACATTAGCACATACATACAATTGCAGATTCAAATCCCATTGTGGTAGAAGTAGTAAAAGTATAAGCAGCAAGCGGAAACATTACGTTTGAAGATGTTATTCAAGCAGTATAATACAGTGAAATAAATTTGGAAAGAGGAAAAAAGCAACATGAAGAATTCAGAAGATTAGAATTTGGGAGATCACAAACAGTGGATGCACCTGCACCACTGCAAACGATTTTGAGTCGTGTCATTCAAGGTCTCTAACCATCGGTTGCTGTCATCTCGTGGATCCCAATCAGGCAGTCTACACCTACCAACATGACTCAGTCCACTTGTCAGTGACTTGATGGATTTGTGCCATGTTTTGGTCTGACGGCTCCTAGTTTTTTTACAACCTACTCCTACACCATGAAACATTGCTCGTCGGAGCAGTCGGTTGTTAGGCATACGTAACATGTGTCTCAGTCATCTCAACTGATGAAGTTCCACTATTTCGTCAATCGGTTTGTCATCCTTACCTATTACCCGCTTCATAACAACTGAGTTACTTACTAGGATGTCTCAGAATATACGAGTAATGCTTCGAAGACACCTATGATAGAATGCTAGTAACCTACGAATATCCTCTACACTTACCGGCCATGTTTCACTGCAGTGAGGTAGAATGGAACAAACTGATGTGCAGTAAATACGTCCTTTGGTTGATATACGGATATCTCACCTACGCCATAAATGATGTAAGTTTTCAAAAGCTAGTCGAGCCCTCTGTATCCGTGCTGAGATTTCGTCACACACCAGACCACGAGGGTGGTGACACTTCCGAGATAAGTGAAGCGGTCGACACGCTCAACTACTTCACTCCCTATCATTAGTTTGAGTGTCGATGCAACCCAATCCTGAAGTAACATTTTGCATTTCGAGGGGAAGAATCGCATCCCGAACATGCATGCATCGTTGCTTAAAGTGGTCAGAAGATTCTACATTTTGTTAACGTCTTCACAAAAAAAGAACTATGTCATCGGCATATTATAAGTCAACAAGTGAATCTTTCGGTAAAAGTTCAACTCATGGAAATTTAGATGAGGAAAGTGCTATCTCTAAAAGCACATTAATGACAAAGTTAAATAAGAATGGAGAGAGTGGACAGTCCTGACGAATACCACTTGAAGTAATCAGTCAACAGTTTGCCATAAGCTCTCACTCTGCCAATTGTGTTCGAGTAGAGAGTTTTTATTAGTGTGATAAAAATTATACTTGAAATTTCTAAATTAAATATAGAATAACGTTTATTGAAAATAATTTGCTTTATCACACAAGTGCAAGTTTATATTCTAAAAGTTGAATAATTCTTTTTTGTATATAGAATTGATGGTGTGATCTAGATTCTTTAACCGGCTTACATGCAATGAGAATTAAACCGAAGAATTAGTGATTGTAAGCTTGATTTTTCAACTATCCACCATTACTTTGTACTGGAAAAAAAACTATTAACAATACCAACTAATTATATCAAACAACTGTTATGAGATTTATGAGGATTTAAAACTGAAAAAAAGCATACGGTTCAAATTCATCGAATAAATGATAACACGATCAACTTGATACCTGAAGGTCGTAGAATCAAGCTGGTCTAGATAGCTCAAAAGTTATTACTGTTGAGATATTTTACAAACTAAGATAAAATGACAAACCTTCACTGATTCTTCTTTTTTTTCTTTCATATACTATCTTTTAACACCTAACACTGTATACTATGATGTTGATCTATATGGGTTAAGTGACCTATTGTAACTATTTCAATTAAATTCTATCAGTATCAAGAACTAGCCAACAGGTGATATCATCTCTATCAATGAATACTTTCAAGAAAATTTAGATCAACCGATCTAACTATTCATATTACTGAAGACACTTGTTGGTTATATTTTTCATTCAAAGTAATAAAAAAAACTCAGTTATGTTTTCTACAAAAGTACATAAAAACTCACATATTAAAGCACGATTATTGTAAACAGCATTAGTTTTATGCATAATAAGACTTCGTTTATAATAGTTCATTGCATCAGTATAGTCACCTGATTTAAAGGACTAAATTATACAGAGAAAAGAAAAAAACTGTATTTTATTTTAATTTGAGTATGAATAAACAGAAATAAGTAGATAGGTTAAATTACTTTTTTTTTCTTTTTTAAACAATTAATAGTACATTCGATTGATTTTTTTAAACAATCGTTTGCATTTATACACTTTCTTTTTTGTAATTGTAAATTTTCAATCATATAAGGCTTCATCAGTTGATTAGAATGTGACATGATGTAAAAAACAAAGAGATTTATCCAATCAGAATTAGGATTTTTTATATAATGAAGATCAGCTGAAATGATTTAATAATATGAAGGTTACTTACTTACTTACTTACTTACTTACTTACTTACTTACTTACTTACTTACTTACGCCTGTTACTCACAATGGAACATAGGCCACTGACCAGCATTCTCCAAACCACTATGTCCTACGGATTCCCTTCTAGTTCTATTGAATTATTCTTCATTATTCTCAAGTCCGTCTCCATTTCTCGGCGTAATGTGTTCTTTGGTCTTTCTGTCCTCCTTTGACCCTGAGGGTCACATATGAGAGCTTGCTCTGTGACGCAGTTGGGTACTTTCCTCAATATGTGTCCTACTCACTTCCAGCGTTTCTTCATGATTTCTTCCTCCAACTGGAATCTGGTTTGTTCTCTCCCACAGTAGGTTGTTTCTGATAGTGTCTGACCAACGGATCCGAAGTATTTTGCGTAGACAATTGTTAATAAACACTTGTATTTTCTAGATGATGACTTTCGTAATTCTCCAAATTTCTGTCCCATACAGTAGAACTGTGTTGATATTTGAATTGAAAATTCTGATCTTGGTGTTGGTTGACAGACAGTTGTTTTGAGTTCCAGATGTTCTTCAGTTGTAGATATGCCGCTCTTCCTTTGCCGATTCGCGCCTTCACATCTGCATCAGATCCACCGTGTTCATCAATAATGTTGCCCAGTTATGTAAAGGTTTGTACATCTTCCAAATCTTCTCCATCAAGTGTGATTCGTTCGATGCATGTTGTTTTGTTTTGAAGAATCTTGCTTTTCCCTTTGTGTATGTTGAGTGTTACTGCTGCTGATTGTGCTGCTACCTTGGTCGTGTTCTCCTGCACTTTTTGTTGGGTGTGTGTGTAGTAGAACAGCCAGATGATCTGCGAAGTCTATATCGTCCAGCTGCATCCTAGCTGTCCTCCCGGAGCCCCACTTGGTCTACTGCCCGTCCCATCCATATAAACAAACTAGCTATTAATACTTGATTTAAATCATTAATAAAGCGAAAATACTTGAGTATTGTTCTTATCAGTTTTAGTTTATATACACAAATTCTTAAATATTGTCTTTTAATCAAAAGTAAATTAGTTGGATGCATGATTCCGACCTTTTACTCAACAATTAAAAGTCGATTATTTCAAACAAACTGACTCACGACCTTAACATATATTTAATGGCTCGATATCTGACTCCAGATAAGAAGGTTGCGTATTCGAATCACGTCAGACTCATCACTTTAGTGACCCGTAATCTGATTCCAGTTAGATGATATGAATGATTGTTGTCGAAATATACATCTTGACTATTCTTGTATATAATTATCGACTTAATCTGAGTTGGTAAATAACGGAATTATATAAGTCAAATACGTATATTTCATACAATCATTGATCGAGACAAAAGATAAGAGAAACCGAGAGAAGAGAGCATAGCCGATTGACGCATGGTGAATAAGGCGTATGAACCAACGATCTAACTGGGGTCAGATCTTGGGTCACTAAATCTATACATACATATATTTACATATTTTGAAAATGTAATAAATAAATAATACCGACTAAAAGAGAGAAAAAGAGAAGAAAAAGAAGACAATCCATTAGCTTACTTCATTCCCTTTTTCTTTTTCTCTTTCAGCTAATTTCTTTCTTGTTTGAATTGGCATATTAACTACTTTTAATTTTAATTCTTTATAATCAAGTTTTCTTAGCCCATATGTTTCAATTTCTGACAAATTCATTTTTTCACCTTTTTCAAATTCACTATTTGTTTGATTATCTTCAGTTAATTCTTTATCCCATTCCTTTGCTAATCTTTAAATTATAATGAAAAATTGTAAACTAAAAGATTGAACAATCTAAATGAATAAATTCACTTGGTGTTATTCTACTTGTATCTTCCCATTGTTATTTAAAACTACAATTGATCAGTCTCATGTTGGCATATGTGCATTCTCTACGGATTGCTACGATATAGCCTTAAGTTACAAGCTTTTTAAGCAAAGATGGATAGTAACTAGCAGTAGAATTCAGGAGGCGCGTTTCGTCTTATTTGGGACTGGTCAGCTGGGTGTAACTGCATTTCAGAATTGATGTTTACTCTAGGACTTCAACCCAGTATCGTTCGTTTCAAAAGACATAGCGTTATCCACTTAGCTACTGAGTCCTGATAACCACTTGCTTGTACAATAGGGTGATTCAAGTAAACAATACCAAGTGAATTTGTCATTAAATATCAGTTGTAAATAATCATTCACAAACTTTCAATTTGGTCAATCTTCGTAACTCTTTTTAGTTTAGAATTTTCAGATGAGATTTACCAATAAAAAGCTATTTATTATTTGAATATTTACAGTATTGAATTCAATTTTCAATTAAAATGAATAGGTTGTTTGATATTTATTAGTTTCCAATGGATTTTTGAAATAATGTCAGTTCATATTTTTTTATAAATAGAATCACTTCTGAATCAATCAATAATTCTTAAGCTAACAACAGAAATTGAGAGAACAAAAAGCGAATATCCGGCGCTTTAACCGGGTTTGTGGATGTGGAGGATCCATCTAGGGGAGTTGGAAAACCGTGATTTCAAACCAATGGTGCACATGGTCTCCAGGATTCTGAAAGAACAAATGACCTATGAACCAATTATTGGTCACCAGCTATCATGGGACTGCATCTCCTGACGTTGCTCCACTGTCTTCATGGATCAGACCTTTAGGTCGAAGGTTTGAGGTACGGCCTGCTAAGAAAATCACCTGCTTCGATCTGGGCACTAGTGCAGTATCACAGTTCACACACAAATCAAGTGACTTGTGTGATGCATATGTATTTGGTGCCCCTTTGTACCAATATTTATGTGTTTATATAAATAAATAAAACAATGAATCACTAACTAAATGAAACATTTTTTACGTTAAACATTTTAAATTGCAATTGTATATTAGAATGTAAATGATATTACTTATCCCAACCAACGAGTATATACATATTTTCATTTATTTTCCCATAAATAGTGATTATGAGTAATTAGCAAGGAATAGCAAAGAATCAGAGATTGTTTATCCTTGAATACATACATTAATGACTGTATAGATTTTCAAATAGAATCAAATGAATTGTTTCATGTTCAATGGGTTACTTCAAAAAAAAACATAAACATTATGAAATTTCATATATAATCTAACTTACTTATCCCATTCACTATAGTCTTTTGGCTTTAAAATTCTTTTACCAAATGTATAATCCCCTTTTGAATTTAACTAAAATATAAGAAATTGAATAGTGAACATTTGAAAAGTTTATAAATTATGTCAATGTTTACTTAATGTTCAAATAAATCAGATCATATATCCCATTTAAATATCTCTGTTTCAGATAATGTCAACAGTTTTACTCATTCTTCAGTTTTATTTTATTTATTCCATAGATTTTTGTTAGTACTTTTTCATTGTATCACTAGAATTCATGAGTTGATCTAAGCTAGACAATCATTAAAAAATTGAAAGCACTAGACGATCATTTCGTCCTAGTATGGGATTTCTCAACAGAGTGTATCCACGATCTCACACACCTAACTCATACCCAGAACTTTCAGTTTTGAGAACGAACACATCATGGTTACTAGCAATATGCATCGAAAAGAATATATACATTTATCAGATGTTGATTCCTGAACCGCTAACATCTAACTGGCGACCACTCAATATTTATCGCAGGAACTGATCAAGAATTAAGAAAGGGAAACTTGTTGAAATACTTTGTGCTGAAAATTCTATATTGTACCAAAATATATAATATTGAATAAAGCCACTAATAATAATAATAATAATAATAATAATAATAATAATAATAATAATAATAAATATTCTCTTATTACATAGTTCTGAACTAGTAGAACAAATAAACAAACAAAACCCCAGTCATTCTTAGACTAGAAAAAGTATCTCTCATCAATCGGTTATATCATTAAAAAGTATAAAATCTCGTAATAATTCATGCTTGTTAAAAGTGTCAAATCTCAAATTAGAAGGGGTTTTATAGATATTATAGTAATTTCAATGGTCGGGATCATGAGTCAGTTGAAGCTAGACCACCATGGAAAACCTCGAAGCACTGGACGACCGTTTCGTCCTATTATAGGACTCCTCGGCAGTGCGCATCCACGATCTCGCCCCTCTCGAGATTCGAACCCAGGACCTATCAGCCTCGCTCCAGGCGTTTAACCAATAGACCACTGAGCCAGCCTGCATCCAATGGTATTAATGTCTAACTTCAACTAATACACGAAATTGAGGAACACATCCAACATTGTCTTCAATGAGTTACTATCTCACAACAGACTCGGCTGACCTCCACTGATCACTGCTTCTTACTAGAACTCCAGGTTTTCTATGGTGGTCTAGCTTCAAATGAGTCATGATCTTAACCATTGAAAATTTCATATTAACAAAGCAAAGAAACTTCACACATATAATTCCCTTTATCATTTTCAAAGAAAAAGAGTAAAAACAAAAGATTTCAACAGAATAACATGAATTCATTTTTATTTCGTTTGGTTCTTGTCAGCTGTTTTACAACCTATGTCATTTAAAAAATCATAATTACATAATGGGTTTAAATTATTTACATGAAAGAGTTTGGTTAGAAGTTATACTGAAGACATATGAGTATAGTATAGTAACCGAAAACCTTCTCATCTTGTAAGCAACTGACGACGACAACCAAACGAAATAACATGAATTCATACTATTCTGTTAGAATATTTTGTTCTTCCTCATTTCAAAGCAAAAAATTAATAATATGAGAAGTAAATGAGTTTAAATAGTAATATTAATGATACAGGCAAACTAAACATAAAAATTATAATTTAGAAAGAAAGATTAAATAATATCAGACGATAAACTATATAAAATAATTTCGATTATGTAATAATGAGAAGACGAAGACTATCAGAACTATGTAATATATTAGTGTAATACATTTCAAACAATCTGATCATACATATACTCTTATTGGGTCACTTGATTGTATTTGTTTCTGTAGCCATTTTGGTACATGTTCACATACCCTAATGTTGAAATCACGATTGCTGCTCCCTATGTATGTACACATTTAAATTGTTAAACACAGTGGGATGTGACATAATCGTTTTCATGTCTTTTAGGTTTTTGGATGAAGCATGCACCTCGTTCTTTCAGTTTGTTCTTACCTTAAACCTACCGTGGTAATATTGACTTATTATCCATAGTGATTAGGTTTCGAATTGTGTTCACATTATTATTATTACTTTTATGATTATTATTATCCTTATCTCCTCTTACCCTCCATTTTTAGTCTAGTTGACCATTTATTTTATATATAAATGTTCTTAACAAGTATATATGTGATCAGATTGTTCGGAATGTATTGTGTTAATATATCACATACTTCTGATAATCTTCGTCTTCCTATTACATTAACGAAATTTATCAAAGGGACTAATTGCTTTAAATATAAAATAATGTTTAGATGAGACATAAAAAAATAAATGGATTGATGTCAGTGTAATCACTATCAAGACATAGTATTTAATCTAATTAACTATCAATTAAAGTTATCATAATAAATAATTAACAAGAAGTCGAAACCACCCAGCCACCCCTATATACTCAGTTCAATAGTCAATAGATTTATTGACTGATTCTGAGTTTTTGCCTGACTGCAATTACTTTTTTTTTTCTAATTAATTCCACTGATAACCCAGCATAGTGTATCCCAGTAGGTTATGACTGTGAATGTATAACACATATTTCAATACTTTGTATGGATATAAGTTCAAGATCCCATCAAATGATATTTTATCTATCAGAAATAAATATCCAGTTCGGTGATGATTTATGTTCCTTATTGATTTTTCGAATGCATTAGAATATAGTTTAACCACTAATTGATTTCATTCAAATTTATTAACTGACTATAGATAAAAAATGATGTGTAACTTATCACTATTATTGATATTGTGAATGTCATTTATTTAGTTGCATACTTTCACCCTTTCTCTTTCTCCTGATGATCGACTCGATCGCGAAGACGTCAACACCTGAAGGGAAGCATGGGATACAGAAAACAGCTAGAATGCAGCTGGACGATATAGACTTCGCAGATCATCTGGCTCTTCTACCACACACACACCCAACAAAAAGTGCAGGAGAACACGACCAAGGTAGCAGCACAATCAGCAGCAGTAACACTCAACATACACAAAGGGAAAAGCAAGATTCTCCAAAACAAAACAACATGCATCGAACGAATCACACTTGACGGAGAAGATTTGGAAGATGTACAAACCTTTACATAACTGGGCAACATTATTGATGAACACGGTGGATCTGATGCAGATGTGAAGGCGCGAATCGGCAAAGGAAGAGCGGCATATCTACAACTGAAGAACATCTGAAACTCAAAACAACTGTCTGTCAACCAACACCAAGATCAGAATTTTCAATACAAATATCAACACAGTTCTACTGTATGGGACAGAAATTTGGAGAATTACGAAAGTTATCGTCCAGAAGATACAAGTGTTTATTAACAGTTGTCTATGCAAAATACTTCGGATCCCTTTTTCAGACATTATCAGCAACAACCTACTGTGGGAGAGAACAAACCAGATTTTAGTTGGGTGAATAAATCATGAAGAATCGCTGGAAGTGAATGGGACACACATTGACGAAAGTACCCAACTGCGTCACAGGGCAAGCCCTCATCTGGAATCCTCATGGTCAAGAGAGAAGAGGAAGACCAAAGAAAACATAACGTCGAGAAATGGAGACAGACATGAGGAAAATGAACAAAAATTGGATAGAACTGGAAAGGAAGGCTCAAGACAGAATGGGTTGGCGAATGCTGGTCAGTGGCCTATGTTCCATTGTGAGTAACAGCCGTAAGTAAGTAAGCAAGTAAGAATAAATCATTTTATTTCTTCAGTCTTATTTTTGTTATTGAATTGATATAGCATTCTTATTCTATTGCATTTGACAGAAGAGAGAAGTATTTTATAGTCATAGCAGTGTCAATAGCAATAATCTCTACTTAGTTTCCAATCATAATATGAATATATTATTCTTATTTCAAGATATCGTACTGTAGTGAATAAGAGCACCAATGAGGTCAATCGAATGTATTGTACAAATTACAGTGCATCTTAATAAAATCTGAGAACCATATATTAAATTGTTAATTTGCAAAATAACAATCCATCATATCTAACTGAACTGTTTCTATTGCAAACATCAATCGATTGTCTGACATTTCATTGTTCATGAGTTTCCATACAAATTCCACCGTGTTCTCGCTCTTCCTTTCTTGATCTTTCCCCATCTTCTGCTGCCAGATATTACGTTTAAAAACTAGCGTCATATACTACTTATGTCTACATAAGTAGCATATACCACAGTACTACCTCTGCTTAATACTCTATGCTAAACTTCAAAATCATCCATTTATCATATATAAACTGAATTGTAAGAAAAAAATCTTAGTATCAAAATGTCATTAAAAAAAAATTTGATTTAACTCACTTGTGTTGCTAATGGTTTATTATCATTAAATATAATAGATTTACGAATAGGTGGTAAATCATCATTGTCATATTTCAAACATTTCTCTTCTAATTCTTCATCATTCATTTCTAATTGTTTTCCTGATAGTAATTTCTTTTTTGATCTTTTCAATAAATAATTATCAAGTTCTGAATTCTTATCATCATTGTCAATTTCTTCATTGAATGTTTTTACTTCATGAAGCCAACTCTATATTCATATGTAATTGATATAAAACAAAAGTTTGAAAGAATTAGTTAACTATGATTATTTTTGATGGTAAAATCTAAATAGTTAGATAACTTTAGATAAATTTAAAGTTAGTTTTCATTATAAAGTAATACAAGTCAGAGAATCGTTGAAAACCCAAGGATTAAACAAAACTTAAATTTATTTTAAAGACGGTACGACCATGACTATTCATTGAATTAAACTCAGTAGCTTCAGGTTTTTAAATGAGGTTTATACTGTTGAATTATTGTATTAAAACCCGATTTCTTTCATTATAAACTTTAGTTCTCTAAATATCACAACCTTCATCTGATATTATTGATACGTTATTACAATACTCTTGATATCAGTCAGTCAGTAACAACGTATAACATATATCAGTTCAAGTTGCCATACCACATTAGCACACAGATACAATTGTCGATTCAAATCCCATTGTGGTAGAAGTAGTAAAAGTATAAGCAGCAAGCGGAAACATTACGTTTGAAGATGTTATTCAAGGAGTATAATAAATTTGAAAGAAGAAGAAAGGGTCATGAGAAATTCAGAAGATTAGAATTTGAGAGAACACAAACAGTGGAAACACCTGCACCATTGCAAACGATTTTGAGACATGTCATTCAAGGTCTCTAACCATCGGTTGCTATCACCTCGCGGATCACAACCAGGTAGTCTACGCTTACCAACATGGCTCAGTCCACTTGTCAGTGACTTCATGGATTTGTGCCATGTTTTGGTCTGACCGCTCCTAGTTTTCTTACAACCTACTCCTACACCATGAAACATTGCTCGTCGGAGCAGTCGGTTGTTAGGCATACGTAACATGTGTCTCATTCATCTCAACAGATGAAGTTTCACTACTTCATCAATTGGTTTGCCATCCTTACCTAGTACACGTTTTCTAACAACTGCATTACTTACTCGGTGGTCCCTGAGTTCTGCCGCTGATGGCAGTTTAGACTCTAATCAGTGTGTAAATACACGTTGCATATTTATAAATTTATTCAAAAGAACCCTATTCTTTTGGAAAATATTTAGTTTATCAACGCAAAAAAAACAATTCAAAACTACAAATACATACGGGTAACTGGCTTAGTTTTTATTCTAATCCAAAAAGAGAGAAATAGAGATATTTAAGATGCAAAGGTGAATAATACACTTTAAAATATACATTCTAATCTCATTGTAGAAGAATAATTACTAACAATTAAAATGTATAGTTCTTAGCTATAATGTTAGGTCATGTTAGTGTCACGAAAAGTATGATATACTTGAACTCACACAACTAACTTCTAAATGATGAAATTTCTAAATTCAATTTCATAATCAATTCAAAAATGTTAATCAATAACTAAAATCTTGTTCTTCATATAATTTGTAAATAATTCAAATGTTGAAATACAATAAACTATTTACTGACAAAATATTATAAGATAAGGCGGGATCGTGGATGTGCACTGCCAGGGAGGAGTCCCAAAACAGAATGAAACGGCCGTCCAGTGCTTCCAGGTTTTCCATGGTGGTCTAGCTTTAATTTACTCATGAGTTCAACTATTGAAATTACTAAAATCTCCACAAAACCCCTTTTGATAAGGCAAAGTATCATAAATGAGTAAAAATTTGCCAGTTTTTTTTCTTTTATTCATTCAGACGATTCGAATTTGAAAATAAGATAAAATATTGTTACATAAACTTCTATTTCTATTATTAATTAATTGTTAGATCACCTGAAAATCTTCTTCAATTTGATGTCTTTCTTCTTTATCCAATTGTGTAAGTTTTATTGGTTCTATCGCTTTCCGTAGAACCCGGCTATAAATAAAAGATAATATAATCATGACTCATAAATTTACTAATAATCAGTTTGAGATCCTAATCATCTATCTCTTCTAAAATATTTCAATAGTATAAGTTCCAGTAGTATTCAAATGACCCGATAATCATTAATAATGGAGAACTAGTTATATTTTAAAATCCACCAAACAGGTTGTTTTTGCAGCTTTGACAGTCGGAAAGTATTTATTTTAGTATTTAAATCTAAATTTAACTGCATATTTGTATTTATAATAAAATAAATTTTGTATTTCTAGTTGCAATAAACAATCGTATGATTTAAATTTGATAGTTCTGTCAAATTTTTGGTAGAAAGTAGGAAATAATAATAAAACGTTGATTCTAAGGTCTTGGATCTTCATGTATCGTAACTAAGACTTCCAAGATTTTCTTGCAAATTACTTTTGTTATCAAGTTAAGCATAAAATCTGGTCTTTTAATACTTACTTCAAATAGAAATTGATTCTTCTGTGAAATTTATCAAAAATATTGTAAGCTACTGCTTAAGGAACTGAAGGCATTTTTAGCAAGAAAAGTTCTATAAACAGAGGTTAATGAAGTAATCTAGCCACTAGTAGAAATACTAGAATATAAAATACTCTTTATCATTCCGCATGTCGGTTTTTCATTGAGAAATTATTCCTTAATATTTATTATTCAATGCTAGTAAAATTTTCTGATTAACATTCTTCGTGTAGTTGCTTAGTGGTAATCACATTCCTACACTGAAAACAGACATATTCAAAACACCAACTTATGATACAGACATATCTATATTCATTGTATGTTTACATGAGTAAATTAATAGGCAGACATTTATTGTCTATTTGCGAATAATAATAATATTAGTATTCAAAACCGAAAGTGCTTGAGTACTCTTGGTCCAACTACTAAATCGCTTCTCGCTCTAACTTAATACCGATTTTTGTCGTTTGTGTATGCTGCAATTCAAGAATAAAAAGTCACTAATATTTTGCCAAAACAGTTACGTAGGTTTTGTTGCACAAATATGAGTCGTTTGCAACTTAATGATACCAAGTGATTAAAACGCTCTATTCGACTCTTTATCCGAGTAGAACTTTTCAAAATATAGGACAAAAATGCTAATATAAATAACAAAGCAAACATAGATCAGAAAATTAATCGGACGTAGAGTCTGAAAATGTTCCAGTGCATTCAAACAAATCCAAAGACCTCAGGAACCTAGTTACTAAAGTGTGTTTCCTGTTGTATGGTTCCAGGTGTAGTCGCTTCTGTGATGGTCTCGCGAAAACAAGATTAAGAGATTTAATTTTGAAATAGATTTTGATTTTTGAAATATGAACTTGGTAGCTTTTGTAGTTTGATTGGTTACTGCAGAGCAAGAATATGAACATTATGTTTTGGAGATGGTTTCCATAATACAGTGCTTTTGATAACATACAATAAAACGGTATCCATTTTCAAGAACATATACTAATCTTACAGATCAAGATTATAAATAAAAAGGTTGATAAAGAATTAACATTCAATTAATTTTCATATGCCATGCTATTATCAATAGTTTATATACCATGATAAGGTCTACACTATTTTTCACCTTGATCCATCCTGTATATTTTTTAGATACAGTGACGGTTATTGTGTATGCTTGAAAGATTGACTATTCCAAAAGTTTGAGGGACATGTTTACGTTCCAGGTTGTGATCCTGAAATATGAAGGTAACCTTAATCGGTGAAAATTAGCCAAACGATAGTTTTTGGTACCGTGCTTTAAGTATATACTGATACTTTCTATAATGTGGGCAACTAGTAAGTAGACCTGATATTGAGATTTTGGTCACCACGTAAATTTCCGAATACATTGGGACCAAACTGCATTTACGTCACTGGATTAACTACCCTTGCTCATACGTCATTTGGTCAAACTATCAAATAACATAGATAATACTTTTGAACTGTTTGTATACAGTGGTGGCAAATAACTGATACTCTGAGATGACATAATGACAGTAATGAAATGGACTTTAAAAGCCAGCAACACACACTTAGCAGTTTTGTGTCACGTAGAATTGAAATGCTATGTTAATTATAAGTTTCCGAGAGATGAACGTTTCGGAAAATAAGAAAGAATATTGCGTAGTCGGGTAGCATGTAACTTTCGTGAAGTAAGTTAAGCAATATGCCCTACAAATTTCCATGCATCGACCTCACCGACCTGTTTGGATTTAACTTTTTGACCTTTTCTTCGCAAAATGATTCAAGTTCTGTATAACGCCCGACTTCGCCAGATCTTAAATTATGACATATGTAACACTGGTCAATACCTCAAAGTTTTCAATATTTTCTCTAACTCATCAGAGTCATTGCAAGAATCCAGGTATTTAAAGTCCAAATGTGATATAGGAATATCATAGGTTTTTGTTCTTTCGCTGAAGTAAACACTATCACTCATTGATAGGAAAAATTGGAGTCAAACAACTGCTGTTTTCAGTAATTAGCACGTTTATGCAATAAAACAAATCACCTTATACTTTAAGTCTCTAGTAATAAACATGAAAGAACTGCGGATTCACAGTAATTTTTTCTCTGAATATTCGATTTTCTACCATAAATGTTGACACATGTGCTTATATTATCAGTTCAGACAAAATATCCCAGTAGCTGACTAACTGGCTTACTAACGCCTGCTTCCGGAAAAAAAATTATACCCTGCCACATAGTTGACAACAGCCATCCAATTAATTTTTACCACCAGTTTGACAACTATATTGATTAAACTAACGGGTCGATAGCTATTAACCAAGTCTGCTCTCTTTCTTATACATTGGACTGATTATTGTATCTTTTCAGTCTGCTAGAAGTCTGGAATGCTTCATAGATATATCAAACAGCATGGCTATTGGTTCTGCAATTACATCGGATAGAGCTTTCTTAATTTTAAGTTGAATATTATCAGGAAGACTGGAATGAGATGGTAAAGTAGTCTTAATGCAGTACCTTTCTCAATAGCTTCAGGGTCCATCAAGAAGCCACCACAATCACAAATATTCGTTGGCCGCTCCTAATTGCTGATAGAATTCATTTAATTGAAATATTCCGATAAAGCTTCAACTTCGATATCATCTCTTGCCAATATTAACGAATTTTCTTGTACCAAAATTGATGAAATTCCGTCACTTCTCTGAGTTCGTCTTTTTATGTACGAGAATAGCTGTTTTGGACTATTTTTATGATCCCTAAACAATTGCTTTTCTTATAACCGTCTAGTCTTACTTATTGCCGCTTTAAGAGCATTCCTAGTCTTAATATAACTGGATATGTATTGCTCTAAGCCAGTAGAGATGAACATATTTAAATGCATTTTCCTATGTCTAAGAAGTTACTTAAACGATTTAGTCATCCATGGTGGGTTGTTTTTTGGTCTACGTGGTATAAACGAGGACGTAAATGAACTAAAATTGCCTTTGTATACAGACCATGTTCCGTCCACTGATGAGCTAGCATCTAATGACCAACCTGTCTTAGCCGCGCACTGCTGAATAGCTGGTATGTTAGCTCTCCATATATCTGGGCGATGTCTAACCTGATTGTATATCTCGTCACTAGATCTCAACGTGAATGACAAAACAGTATGATTGCTATTCATTAACAGTGGAAGAATACTTAGGTTGGCAACATTTTCAGTCGCATGATTAATTAAAAAGTCTAACAAACAATAACCTTTGTTTGCATCGAAGCGTATAGTTTTGGATACATGCTGTACTAATGCATGCTCTATCACAGTTATCAGGAACCTTCTATCAAAGGAGTCAGTAGATCGTACCGTGGCCATCTCAGTCCAACTAATATCAGGTGCATTAACGTCTCATAGTATCAAGTATGTGTTATTTGCACGCTATATCTGTATGTGCTCTAAAATAAAATCATCGTCTAAGTAAATTAAGCTACGACAGATGACACTGAGTATAAATGTGCAACATCCGATAATAAGCTCACAGATAATGACTCCACAAGTTCTACTATCATTGGATAAACAAGTAAAGGAGAGGATATTTATATAATTGGCTATGTATAAAATGACGCCACCTCCTTTCCTACATCTATGCTTATCACTTCTTAGGTAATGGTATTCGGGTAATTCTGGAGTTGCGTCGAAGTCATGAGTTAACCAAGTTTTTGTCACAACCATAATGTCTGGCCTTAACTTCTCCACTATTGCTCCTAATTCATAGAATCTATTTCTCAGACTACGGGCATTGGTACATAAAACTGCCACGGAGATCGGCCTATCCACACATTGTATAGGATTTAGAACACTAGCGTAGGATATATTTGTACTCTAAGGTTAGTGAAAGAGGTTTGGATGTTTGAAACACTTGCATTTATTCTCACTAATAATATCGTTATTTCTGTTATACAACAATTAAGGTAGCCATTGTCACTGGTTACAACGGAGTAGTCGAAGCTGGGTATTGACCATAAGGTGTGACTTCAGCGTAAGCTGAAAGGTAATACCATTACCGTTTAACTGGAGCATGATTGTAATTATCGACAGAGATCATCTACGTCGGTGATCAACAAACACATCCAGTCTCGTCATTATCCATATTAGAGGAGTAAAAATATTGACACACCACTTATCGCGCGCAGATCCGTAGATCTTTTGAACTTTATTTGTTTTCTGTTTTTTTCTTAATATACGCTCTTTTCATCATCAGCCACGAGTAGACATTCAATCTTCAAGGTCACTCGAGACGTCATTCAGTTAGGTGAAAGGTATAGTCTCATCTGGTTCTGCACTAAATTACCTGTTTATCTAGTTATTTGTGTTTTTTCATGATTTAGGCTCTTAGATTTTCTGACATCTTATGTCTCTCATCCAAATAATAGTTTATCGGCTTGTGCTAGTCTATTACAACAGTGCTTCTGTAGCCACAGGATAGTTCATTATCTTGTTGTAGAAAACTTAACAATTAGTTTCCTTTCTTGCAGAAAGTATTGACTAATAAAGTGAACAATTTCGCATCCATTATTTGGCATGCTCTATAATTTATACTTTCAAAGTATATTTAACAGCAAATGCTGGTTAAAGTACTTTGAATAAAGCTTTTTATGGAATGAGTATAATACTTTAAGCATCTTTTTGATGCTGAAATTTCCTTTTACAATCTGTACACTCAACGCTTCTGATTTTGCTTAAACCTTGGAACTTTCGAATTTTGTCCGAAATTACCAGTTTTCTGATTCATTTAGATGTTTATTATAATGGTTAAAAAGATTCGCTGTCTATTTTCTTGACGTTTATATTGGTCACTCAATGTGATGCAGCGTAGAACCTGGTGCACATGCATGTGGGTTCACGTTGCCACACCCCATTAACACAGAGAGATGACATTGTTAGTGCAAATCGTAGAGTAGTAGATGTGGTAAATAGAATTCAGAAACGTGAGATCTAATAAAGGACAAAAATTGGATGCACCTATATCACTACAAACGATTTTGGGACGTTATATAAGGTCTCTACTCGTTCTATGTGATAGTCCGGACACAAATCACGTAGTCCATCTGTTAACATAGCACTCTTCGTTTGTTAGCGACTTTGTAGACTTGCACTACGTTTTGGTTTAGCCACACCGAGCTGCCAACCTACTCACACCAGGCAATAAAGCCTGTCGAGGTAGGCGGTGATTGACCATACGTAACATCTCCCAGCCACCTCAGTTAGTGAAGATTTACAACCTCATCAATCCATTTACCATATTTACCTAGTGCCTTATGCCTGACCCAGGCGTCACCTACTCGTTTGTTCAAAAGTACACAAGAAATTCTTCGGAGACACTTATGATGGAATACTAGTTACCTACGGATATTTTATATTCCTATTCATCACGTTTCACATCCATAAAATAAAGCTGTGTGAATTGCTGTTCGATAAAGTACAATCTCGGGATCTAACCTATTCCAGAATGTTGTGGCTAATTATCGAGGGTACTATGTAATCGTCTTGTTGTCTCAAAAACTTATGGAAAATACAATGGTAGCAGTTTTATCCTGGATTTGACTGAATGCCATCGTTTTAGCGACATAACCTAGGAATGTTGGATTTAACCTCACGTAAAGTTTTATACACCGACTACTGAGTGACAAAGTGTGATTCAATGGATGTCCAATATCCCACAGTTTTCCAAAATTTTCTGACCGATTTTACTTCATGATAAGAGCAGACTTTAAACTAAACAATTCCCCATAAACACCAATTAAATCGATGCTCTTGTCCTGGTATGTTTATCCTTACTTTTCCTGTGGTATTATTCTTGTTTTATGGCATCTTTCTAAGTCCTGTTAAACAGCTATAAGTTAAGCAACTTTGTCCCGCTGCCATGAATCATTAAACCCCTATATTTTTTATTCATCTGACCAAATAAATATTGATACAGAGGTATCTATACTACAATCTTACCCAAAGCTACTGATTATTTTATTCGATCCCTAACTATTGTTACGTTCTTGATGTACTTGATGCTCACATAAATTGTGTATAGAAACCCTACATTCACTTACTGCTTACCAAAACATAAACTTCCAGAATCCCACGTAATTAGATTAATTCGTTTGTCTAAATCTGTGATTCATTGGTCTCCTTATTCCTTAAGTATCAAAATATTGGTTTAAGATCACCTTAAACTAAAGCGCTAAGTGGTATAGTTATCACATTTAAGTATGGGATCGTCCGAAAAATAATTTTCTAGTTGTTATGGGGTTATACTTGCTATATAATTATATATTTAAACTTAATATAAGTTTTTTAGGCCTTTTTGTAACAATGTCTTCAAATCCAAACGACGTGACAGATCTTATAGCAAAAGCCGAGAAATGGTATATTGTACATTTTGTCTTTTAATAACTCGATTCAGCTTAAAAATATCTTTACTAAAGAGGAGGCCTGATTATGATGGTGCAATCGAATACTATGGAAAGGCCGCATTACTTCATAGAAATCGCAAGCAGTTAAAAGAAGCGGCTGAGACATATAAAAAGGTAATTTCTTCTCTTAAAGATCGTTAGTTCTCAGGTTGCCGAACTACATTTTAAAAATGGGTCTTATTTCCATTGTGCCAAACAATATGAAATTGCTGCCCAAATGTACCGTGATTTGAAAGATTTTTCACAAATGGCTTCATTAATTGCTGAGGCTGGACTGATGCTACGGCAAAATGGCACTCCTGACTCAGCATCATATGTTTATGAACGAGCTGCCAAGTACATCATTATTTCTCCTTAATACAATGTCATATAGAAGTCTCGAAGAGCCATTACCCGAACGTGCCGCTGAATTTTATGAAAGATCTGCAGATGCTTGTGAGGTTAGTTTTTGTATATCGTAGCACTTACATTAAATAATACAGAAACTCTGTCACATATTTTTAGTATAGTAAAAATTTTCAGCTATAGTTGATTTTTTAGTTAATGAATCTCTATTATTCTCGTTTACTTGTATCTTTTTAAACACTACTTGTTATGGTTATTAGATAGAAGAAAAGTTTCATGAGGCTGCAACACAGGCTAACAATGCTGCTCATGTATGGGTTCGTTTAAAGCGTTTTAACGAGGCAGAACGTCTACTTCGATTATTTATTGATTACACAATAAGAGGTCACACGGATAGTGTTGGAGCTACGGTAGGTGGATTTGCTGATCCCAGTGCTTCACCAAAGCTGTGTGGTCGTGCTGTAACAGTTCTAATATTGATTAAATTGTATATGGAGGATGAAGTAGCAGCCAAAAAGATCTTCAATGAAGCTGTTGAGTAAGCATGCTTGTCCTTTTACCAATAAATTCTTTTTCAGTACAGGTTTTTGCCAGGTTTAAAAAGAAACCTGTATTTGTTACAGCTTATGAGTCTACAAGTATATTAGTGGTCGGGAATACTCCAAGGCTTCCTAAACTAATACACTTTCTTAAGGTTGAAAAATTACAATTATTTGGTTGTTATGCAGTACTTTACGTTATAAATATCTGAATGGAATATCACTGATTAACATCTCAAATACGTTTTAATAGCTGAGTGCGTATAGTTCTATTTTGACTTGGGAGACATTAAACGTAAGATTTTACCATCGCCTTTTCTCGTTTTAGTTTACTTTCCACCAGGTTAGCATTTATATCGTAAATTTAAGTACTTTTTCCACTTAAAAATCATGTAAATTTTGTGTTTATTAGACTATCACTCTCGTTTAAGTTATGCGAAGATAATACACTGCTCAGGCATAGAAGGTGATAGTAAATGTTCAAGCTTGACAAGCAAAAGTTTAAAAACCCTGGTCTCAGTTTTAATTCCAACATTATTTTTACATTGTTGAACAGTTCCATCTTCTAAAATCTGATTCAAAAACAAAACATTGATGACTAAAAAAATCTGTTCATCGTTTGTACATATTTCTTTTGAAAGGAAGTTGTCATTAATATCATTCATACTATTCTTATTTGTCATCTTAAGGCGATGGAGATTTCCGGAAGCTGAAGAATTTTCTGCAGTGAGGCGACTACTAGCTGCCGTTGATGATATGGATAAAAAGGCTTGTGAAATGGCAATAAAGGATCAGTGCTTCAGAATGCTTGACCTAGATGTAAGTTTTGTACGTTTATCCAATCGTTCCTCATAGTACAAAACACTGACTTTTAATTTTCTCTGTTATTACTGAATAGGTTTTGTAAGAAAAATGGAGTTAATCCCTCACCACCATGTTTTTTTTACATTCTGACTAAAATAGTTATAACTCAAAAAATAATAAACATTGATTCACTGATTCTAATTTATTTAAATGTGTTTGTCGTAGTAAACTTCAATTTTAGAGCGGTAGCTCAGTAGTTATTAAGGTTTTCAACTTCTAAGTCGCTTATCCAAACCATGTTTTATTTACTTTGTTTTGGCTAACCAAGCAGTTTAACTTAGCCTTATTACACTGAAAGTGGTTCAAAGCCAGTTATACGAAGTCTGTACCCGGTAATGAAACAAAAGGAAACAAGCATATCTAAATGAGTAGTGCTTTCTATCATCAGTTCAGTATTATGTCTACAACACTTGATCACCTATGGGAAGCCAACTAAGAAATGAATATGTATTTTATTTCAGAACTTACCGATAAATAGGTTCATCAGCCTTTTTAGGCATCAAACCTAGAATTCATGGTCAACATTTTAGTTTCCGAAAGCATTAAATTTGTCTTTCATATTTTTAAATTTTTTCAACCTGAACTGATTCGCAATGCACATTAATTCTAACAGGAGACTTTAATTGGAACTGATGAAAGTATGACACGGTTATTTTCAATCTAATCAATTATTAACACTGAATTGTCACAGTTAGATAATAGAACAAAAAAAGATTTCTATACGATCTCACAATCATCTCCATAGTAAAAGAATTCAATATTTTTATTGGCTAATGTTGTCTCGGGTACACTAAAGTTATTTGATTCATCCCTTAAAAATATCATAAGTAGTTGTAAATTGTTAAACTTTATTGAATGTGATCAAGCATATAAACTACTTATTTAAAGCTTTCAATAAATCTCACCGATTTCATAAGGTCAGATATGATTTTTATGGACCTTATTGAAACATCTATCAATAAAGTATAACCGAATATTATTTTGATTGACAACTTATTGTGATGAATTTCACAATATGTAGTAAAATGACTATCATAATGTAGTCTTTTCAGGCTAATAATTTAGTGATATTTAGTTTAAGATGTGGTTGTTTGGTAGAATCTATGAAACATCAATATGTGTTAAGTTAGTTTCATGATTCAAATCGGTTACGATAAACACTATTTATAGTATACCATAATAAGTATGAATTATAATGTGTACAGTTCATAGATATATAGACGTTTGTCCTTTCGGCTCACATAAGGGCACGAAGGTTGTGGTTTTCAAAAGGTGCATAAATGACTTCCTTTAATAGTATGCGTCATTCATAATTTATCGCCTACCACTTGATTTATTTATTTTAACACATAGGTATTGGTACAAAGAGGGACCAAATACATATGCGCCACACAAATCTCATTTGATATGTGTGAGGGCTGTGATACTGCCCGGATGCCCAAACCGAAGCAGGTGGTTTTCTTAGGGGGCCACACCCCGAGCCTTCGACCTGGACGTCTGACCCACAAGGCAGTGGGGCATCGTGAGGAGATGCAGTCCCATGGTAGCCGGTGACCAACGATTGGTTCATACGCCATTTATTCCTTCAGGATACTGAAGCCCATGTGCACCATTGGTTTGGGATCCGGTTAAAGCTCCGGACATTCGCTTTTCGTCCTCTCATTTTCGTAAACAACACCCCCGCCACGAGAAGGCAGTGAGTACGACTTCCCTGGCAGGGGATATATACGCGTGGCCATGTGAGAGCATTTCGAGAGGGAGGGCGGGCCCATCATCTTAGTTGTGTTGAAGTTCTGTGGAATAGACACTGGGAGAGAATCTAGTGTAGATATTTGTCCAAAGTAAATTAACGTCTCATACGTGTAGATGAAGTAAAACCAATCGATATAACATTTTCTGTTTAAAAATATTTCATCTCAATATTAATTTATACTGTTTTATTTCTTTGAAATATATATTCCATTCAGTATGCTCGTCTAGCAAAAGAAATTAAATTCCCTTATAGTGATAATTTTTCTGAAAAAATACAAAAACCAAAAGACAATTTCATTTCAACACCAACAAATTCAGGAAATCTAAATAATCAAATACAAGGTGGTAACCAACAACATGGACAAGGAGATGAAGAACAAGAAGAAGAGGAAGAAGATATTTGTTAATTTATTTTCTGATTTCTTATTGAATCACTTGATTCTTTCATTATTATTTGATAAGAATTTCCTTTTAACTGAAATCATGACATTACAAGGGATATACTATATATATCTATATATATATATACTACTGATATACTAATATGAATGCTAATTATTTATTAGCTTTATTATACACATTCCTATATTTTAGCGCATAATTTACCCGTAATTACAGAACTTTCTCCAATTATTTATATTATACACATTTTTTTTGTATTTTATATGCTTTCCTTCTATTTTTGTTGTTGCGTATATTGATGAATTTAATTATTCATCTGTGCATTTCAAATGTCTAAAATAATGCGATGAATAAATAGATACGTAATATATTACTTATTAATCAGTTATTATCATATTGCGTTTCAGTTATGTTAGTCAGTCAGTCAGCTACAATGTAGGACCAGGCATTAGTTCAAGTTGTCATACCTCATTAACACAACAAGATGAACACCGGATTCAGAATAACTATAACGTTTTGAACTTCAGATAGAGTCGTGAGACCTACTTCAATGTTCCATTGACGTTGTTTGGAAATGGTGGGTAGTTCTAGGGTAGTTGAAGGCCAGTTGAACTGCTCCTTAAAATGTTCCGCTCATCGTTCTAAGCGTCTAAACTGGGAGCAGATAAGAGTGTCGCCTTTTTCCGAGATAGTTTCACTTACACTTGACTTATTGATTCGAGTTTTTTTAATAGTCTGTAGAGCTGTCTTGTGTTACCTACAGCCGCCGCCTTTTCCATCTCTTTATGTTATATTGTTCATTACGTTTGTACAGAAATGATAAATGAGAATGCTTATACTTTTTTATAAGCTAATTAAACTAGAAATTGTAAAGAGATTCTCTTTTTAGCATGTGGTTAATGAAGTTAAGATTTGATTTGTCAGCGAGCAAAAGAAAAATAGACACTCAGATTTTTTTCAATGCTGAGATGTTATTATTTAATATTATGAATTCTTTTCTTTCACTGATTTATGCTCTGGGTTTCTGGCGTCGGTGTATACACTCTCTGTCTTCCCTTAAACTGAGATAAAAATCGCTTGATATCTTTCTTTTTGTACTATATCCTTATATGCAATCTTTCTTTTATATATTACCACCATTGACTTAATCACTTCTATGAATCCGGTGTTCATCTTGTTGTGCTAATGATGTGTTACAACTTGAACCCATGTACATATGTACCTGGTCCTATGTTGTAGCTGACTGACTGCTCTGGGTTTCACTTTGTGTGAAATACTTGTATTTGATGTGAGTAAACCTCTATAATCTGGTTCTTAATTGTTGATCGTAAACTATGTATCAACTGTTTTAAATATGATTTAGTATAATTATTTAGTAATCTTATATGTAATGTATTGATCGGCGGCCTGCTTGAACATCTGGGCTACCTGTTCCTCCCATCTAGATATTTCGTCAAGTTATCCGTTTTCTTGTTTGTTTTAACACACTATTATGTATATTGAACTCTTAACCTATTCAGGCGCGTTTACGAAAAGTTTACAACCTTTCGCTGTACGGATTACAAAAAGGTACAACCAGAGACATCATGGTGGCTTGCAATATGCATTGAAACGAATGAACATTATTCAGATGTCGATTATCGAACTCCTAACATCTAACTGGCCATCACTCAATATTTATCGTCAGGATCGATCAAGATATAAGAAAAAGAAACTTGTTGAAATACTTTATGCTGAGAATTCAATAGTGTACCACAAATATAATGTTGAATAAAGCTTATAATAATAATAATATAGTGTCCTAGTCATATTATCGTATATTTGTATTGAGAACAAAACCCTTTACTATTTTTCCTATTAAAAAAAACACTTAAGCTTTGAACAGTTAGAAGCGTAAGATAAGAAAACTTAACGAGTTGTCTGGTAATTAATTATTTTCAATAAATTACATTTCTTTAGATTAGACATTCAATGGTAATACGTAGTTGGACATGATGATAAATATTAGTCTAAAATGACAAGTTAAACCAAGAAATATTTCGTTTCAATTAGTTCCTTACGAGGGTTCTACATTAATATTACATGTTTTACAACTGAGTAGAAGATTGATACCAATTAGATAGTGGTGAACCAATTTAATAATCAGTCAGTAATCATGTTTGGAAAATGTTAACTAAGGTGAATTTTCATAATCAGTTTATCACAACTGATTATACACAAGAGTAGGAATTGAAATTGGATGTAAATATAAATGATCTGTTGTTATCTTGGAAATTGATAATAAGTAATTAGTAGGACAGGTGCAATTAAATAATAAGATTGTTAAAGAGGTTAAGAGTAAAACTAAAGGAAAAGAAAGAAATGTTTCGAAACATAATAGTATCTAAGTAGAAAGTTAGGGTATATTCAGTGGCTATATATACTTTCTGTTACAGAGATTAGGTTTTTGATGCATGTAAGAGTCGAATTGTGGAACAATAGAGTAAATTCAGTGGGATTTTATAAATAACTTTAAATGATGAAGTTTCGTCTATGTGATGACCAGTATCAATTCAATGGGCCAAGACAGAACTTTTTATCCTCTGGTCAATCAAGAAAAGTGATGTTCAGGAATACGATGATACATTTTTCTAGTTGTGCGCCTAATATAATTAGCTCCACAAAAGCAACTAAAATGGGCAAACGAACTAGACAATTTTTCCTTACACTGTGAACTATCGGCTAGTTGAAGAAAGTAGGACATGATACTGCCTCATTGAATGTACGCTCTAAGACTTTATATACATCGAGTAACTATTTCGCTAGCTATATCACCTTCGAACTGTAATCTCAAGAATATAGACTTCTTTGACACCGTCGATTTATTTTATTTACTTATTTGAACACAGATATTGATACAATGGGGCACCAGATACCTATGCGCCACACAAATCTAATGAGATTTATGTGAGGGCTGTGATACTACCCAGATTCCCAAACCGAAGCAGGTGGTTTTCTTAGGGGGCCACACCCGGAGCCTTCGATGATTTTACCATAAGTCTAGTTCCATACATATGTTTTGTTAGGAATTCGAACCCAGGACCTTCGGTCTCGCGCGCGAACGCTTAACTCCAAGACCACTGAGTCGGCATCCAACGGTGTTAATGTCTAGCCTTAACCAAACCACGAAATTGCGCGACCATCTTCCATTGTACTGAGGTAGATACCTGTTTTTACCTGACACGGATTAGTTCCACTGGTCACAGCTTCTCACTAGAAATCCCTCATGAAGCTAGTCATTAGTTAGCACATGGTAATTATCAATATGAGGTTGTGGAAATTACTGAGTTTTTGATTGAGATTGGATGCGCACTGTTGAGGAGTCGCAAAATAGGACGAAACGGCCGTCCAGTGCTCCTAGGTTTTCAATGTTGGTCTAACAACAATCGGTTCATGATTTCAATCAAGACAAACTCTGCGTTCAAAGTCATCTACAAGGTAAGTAGAAGTCTTCCAAAAACAATTCGATTGTATCTTCTTTGCATTTCTGAAGCCTTAGCCATACATCTGGAAAAACCACAATTGTGTGTGCAAGAACGACTGGTACAACCTCTTCTTCTATCATGGTCTTTTTTATGAATATTTAAGCCATTAACAATCAAACGATTATTAATTTCCATGTTTAAAAATAAAATAAAATTTTTAATACCTTTATTTATTCTACCTTACTGTCATCATGTCTAACAGAAGTTTATTAACATTATTATTATCCTGTAAAGTAATTATATATATATATATATATATATATATATATATATATATTTGCGATTGTACAGCTTTGAAAATGAATTCACCGGAAAGGGGAAAACTCTACACTGAACTAATCTTTCTTATTTAGTTTCACGATTATCTGATTGTTATATGCGCATAATACGACAAGAGAACTGTTTAATACAGAACTTTCATTTAATGATATAATAATAGAGATCCAGACAGACAACACTTGAACGTAATTACACTATGTGACAGATACTCTACATTGTAATAAATATTAAAATTCTCTTTATAAAACAAATATGTGTAATATGAAAGATGAAGAAATACATGAAAAATAGCTGTCTGTACAAAAAAAAACAGTAGTGATTATACGTATTTACATACAAAATAAAGTTTATAGTTTACTTTTCCTCTTTACATGTTTCATTTAGTTTAACATTATCAGTGTTACTTTGCATATCATCCTGTTCAGATTGATTACCATGCATATCAGGTGTTGATTTACAATTATCATTATCAACATCATCATTACCAGCTTCGGTTTCTGTTTCGCTACCTAACTTTGACAGCATTGCAGTCATCAGTTCAGCGACTATACCAGGTTGACGTGATTCTAGTTCATTCTGGGTAGAGAGAAAAGTATATACTTGAATATTTTAACCAATCATTTTTGAGATTATAAATAATGATAAGTACTATTCAATTAGTCATTATAACTCCTACCACGAATGTTTATTAATTTGCGTCTTTACAGTGTAAGAGAAAACTGAGGTTATAAATGAAAGAGGTGAAATAATGCTGTTGTCTGCAGTATAAAACTAAATATACAAGAAAGAGTCTGATGTAGTCAGCAAAACGTTCTGCACTTAGGTTCCTTACTAGGTAGTTCTCGTCAGTAAGACGTAGCTGCGGTTTTGAGGGAACTGATGCTCTCCGGTGAGTTGGAACCCAGATCATACAGTTTCAGACCAGCGGGATATTCGAGCCGCAACTAATTTGCAGGATTGAGATACACAGATTAGTAGTATTTTTCTAGTCATCTTTCTGACCGAATCGATCAAGCTGTGAGACTGAATGATCCGGATTCGAATGTACCAGAGAGAATCAGTTCCCTTTAGATTACAAGTACGCTTTGGTGACGAGTGCCAATATGCACGAAACATAAGTTCCTAATGACTGTCTCCAACTACCTAACATCAAAATATAATACGTGCAATATCGAGTTACTCAGACTATTGACCACATTGAAGCTTAGTCAATATAATTTACTTGGCACTAAAACAACTAGACAGACATAACATTTGCCACTACTCAATGATCAGTCAGAATACATATTTTACAAGGAACAAATAAGAATCATAGAATAAGAAGAACAAAAGATATCGCCAACTATTGTTTTTAATTATACATATGAATATGATCTAAATTCAATGCCTTCATGGATTGATGCCTATTCTTGTCTGGATAGTCCTAGCCTATTCTTCAATTTACTTCACAGTTTATTAGCCACTGAACAATATATGACAGTTGTTAATGTACTATATATATTTATATATGTATAGTAAGGACGAACATAATTAACTGTATGAACTTAACTCAAATATGCATGAATATTTATCACGAAAATGTTAAACCAATCAAGGTAATTTAGGTCAATAATCACAATGAAATAGAATAAGTCGCCACACATAATAGGTAAAAGTACAAGTTGATAGTAGGAAGAAAGGCCTACTGCTATTAGTAAGAATAATAAAATACGATAACAGAAGTCTTATCAATAAGTTAAACATTGGAAATAGAAGGTCAAACGTGGGTAAATAGAATTGGAATATCAATGGTTAAGATCATGAGTGGTTAAGTGCTCGCGCGCGAAACCAGTAGGTCCTGGGTTCGAATCTCGCGAAGCGGGATCGTGTATGAGCACTGCTGAGGAGTCCTACAATAGGACGAAACGACTGTCCAGTGCTTCCAGGTTTTCCATGGTGGTCTAGCTTCAACTGACTTATGATCTTAACAATTGAAATTACTACAATCTCCACAAAACCCCTTCAGAATTAGAATAGTCATCACAAAACATTAAAACCATTACGTAATAAGTGAGTAAATAATTAGATAGTGAAGAATACAAACGGAAAGAGGCGGAAAATTACAAACAAATACAGGAATATGAAAATAATTATAATCATAACAAAAATAAAATAAAGTCGTTATAACAGGCCACGGAGGGGATAGTGGGATTACGAATTTCTTCTGTAGACATTAATTGAGGTTAAATGTACGAATTCCTATGGCTTCAGTTATATGTAGGAGACGGGAACGAACTCTATTGGGAAATGATGGAGTCATATGATAGATCACTTGGAATGATTCCGATTTATCTAAATTATGACCGCTATCAATAAGATGTGCCAAGATAGAACTGCGTATTGTTTTTATATGACCCTTTATAAATCAAGCTGGTAGATGTTCACTCATTCGTTGGTTAAGTTGTCTGGTAGTATTTAACATTTAAATCATTTCATAGAAACTATCTATCTTAACAGTAAACAGAAAAAAAACAAAATAAATTTGGAAAAGAATTTTTCATCATAAATATATTTTTGATTTGGAGAAATCGATCATGACAAATTTTTTTTTACACACTACTATTCAACATGTTACTTACCTGTAAAGTTTCAACAACTGATTCAGTTTGATTTATTTGTTGTTGTAAGATTAACAAACTACTTTGAAGACCTTCTAAATCCGTATAGGCTTCTTCTAGTACACCTTCAATATCTAATAGAATATGTAGAAGTTTCGAAATAATATTTTACTTAATATAATTAAAAACAAACTTGCAATATACGAATATGATACAGTCTTCATTGAAAATCATGACGGTTAGAACCGAAAATTATTTTTGTAAGGATTATGCAACTACCTACAATGAATGGTGTTTTTTGAATAGTAATTTGAACTTCTAGTTTGAACTGTGTTACCAGTTAACGATTGTTTTTTAAATAAAGCATTTTAGAGTTGAATAAAACTGCTATTTGTGGATAGTATTCTAATCCATTTCTGAGATATAATCACATTTAATAACTTTAAGCTTTATTAACCTATTTCTAAAATACACAAGATCTTAGATTAGGATAACTTTCTAAAATAGGAATGACTCCATAATGGACTAATGAATGTTGCTTTTGACTAAATTTATTTCCATATCTAGGTACTTGAGTTATTTGGTAGAATATTCATCCCTGATAAGTATAGATTTTACTACAGTTAATAAAGTATGATGGTACATACTATCAAGAATCATTATGTATATACTAAATGGAAAGGATTTGGAATGTTAAGGGTGAAGTCTATTATCGACGTTTAAGTAGAAGAGTGACACCAGCGAATTCAAAAGTACTTTTATATTTTATTTGGACTCACTTTTCGTGGCCAACCACTTCAGATAGCTTGATGAAAGTAAGGGATATGGGATAAATCTATGTGTGCTGAGTGTTACAGCAATTTACGCTAATCTAGACATTTTATGTCATTGTAACATCAATCAATGGTCTGAAATGTCGACTAGGGGAATATAAATAACGGTCAGTTAGAACGCAGTAACTAAATGCTTGAAATTTAAAAGAAATGTGGTCAATAAATTAGAAGCTAGACCACCATGGGAAACTTGGAAGCACTAGACGGCCGTTTCGTCCTATTGTGGGACTCCTCGGCAGTGCACAATCACGATCCCGCCCCGCGAGTTTCGAATTCAGGACTTATCGATCTCGCGCGTGACTGCTTAGGTTCTAGACCATTGAGCCGGTATTCAACGGTGTTAATGCCTAACTTCAACCAATCCACGAAATTGCGCCACCGTCCACCACTGTCTTTAGTGAGTTACTATCTCTGAGGCGTCCCAAACTAGGACGAAACGGCTGTCCAATGCTTCCGGGTTTTCCATGGTAGTCTAGCTTCAAATGACTCATGAATCCAACTATTAAATTACCATAATATCCACAAAACCCCCTTCAAATTAGAAGAAATTAAGTAGAGTAAAATACTGTGAAAGTTTGTTCTATTGGTTAATTGTTTTAACTCATTTTAATAAAAATTTCATAGTAAAAACCATCAATTATTGAAGTAGAATTTTCTTAATAATTTTTTTCTTTTTTTTTAAAAAAAAATTAGTAACGTTATATGAAAATGTAATACCTTCATTAGTTTTGATAAATTCTTTCATACATGTTGTTTGTAATTCAGCTTCTGATTCTAATCTAGCTACACGATCAGTTTGATTGACTCGACCTAGTTCTTCATTAGCGTTTAACAATTGTCTAATACGTGACATTAATGATTTTCCTATTGAACTACAAACAACAAATAAACATATATATGGTAGACGAGAACGAACTCAGGTGCAGAAGACTAATTTATTGTTTAGAGCTCAATTACACAGTCTTAGTAAATTATGGAAACTATACATTAAATACATCATTTACACATCTCTCATCAGTTTTCCTTTAGCTAGTTAAATCATACTGTGATATGTAAATGAAACGTTACTGAACCAATCCTAATATTTGAAAGATTGATTCGGTAACCAATAAACAGTAGTTCTCCAAATGTGTTTTATGAACGAACTATGTTTAGCGGAATTCACAAATCATATATGAATACAGGATGATTAGATTTATAACTAAATTTTATAAAGTAAATAAAATGGTGAATCAACTTCGTATTGAATTTTCAACAAAGTTACAGGTTGACTATCTTAAGAAATTAAGATAACTAACGAAAAAAAATGAAGGTTATAAATCAAAAATACAATACATATATTAAACATCGATTTATGTTTACTATTATAACAGGATGCATGACAATAAGTTGTTGCTTTAACTAACATACATCATTTGTAATTTTACATTTTACGGAATTACATCTCATACCCGTTGCATAAGTGAGTGGCTATCCAAACTCAGTAGTTAAAACGATAACGTTTGAAGTTTCAGAGTAGACGTTAACTCTTGGATGCGAGTACATCCAGCTGACAAACACTAAATAAATCAAAATGAGTATTCTAGATAACACTCCTAGCCATATTTTATCAATTTTATGCTGAAAACATTATTGTTTTTCAATGGAAACATAAAAAATGTAATTGAAACAGTCCTACAGTAAATAAGGATTTTAAGAACTGGTATATTCGGTGCAGAAACTGGAGAAAGTGTCTCTCCAATCCAATTATTTATTTATTTTAATATAAATATTGATACAAAGGAGCACCAAATACATGTGCGCCACACAATTACAATGAGAATATGAAGAGATAGAGAATGTAAGGTGCGTATAAGAAAAAGGGGAACAATAACGAACAGAAATTAGCGTATGATAGTGGAATAATAATAATGGGAGAAGCAGTTTAGTTAGCAAAGATACAACCAGAAAAAATTTTTCTAGTTAAAGAAGTTAAATCCACTTTTTAATGAAGAAAGTCAAAGAAGGTTACAGCAGGATCGTCACTGGATTATATTCTGAGCCATATCTGATAATGTCTCTAGCCACTGTGTTGCACCATCTCTAGGACCCTAGTCAGGGAGTCGAGAAGAACCAACACAAGCCAGCCCTTTGCAACTGTCTTTCATACCACGACACCATATCATACACTGACAACCTCTCCGTTTTTTCCAACGAGTCTCAGCGTCGGCAAATAATGCATAACGAGGAATTCTCTGGGACGAAATTCGTAGAACATGTCCAAGCCATCGAAGTCGATGTTTCAAGATGGTAACACCAATTGGAATATCGTCTCTGCTCTTGAACACACGATGCCGAACCTCTGCATTACTGACATGGTGTTGCCACTGGATGTCAGCAATCCTTCGGAGACAACGACGATCAAACACAGAGAGTCGTCTAACATTCTAAACTCGGAGAGGGCAGGTTTCGCAAGCATAGATCAGAACTGCTCTAACCGATGCGTTGTAAATCCGACCTTTTATAGTCAGACTAACATCAGGAATGCGCCAAAGATGGTCCAGATTGGCATAAGCCGCTCTGGTTTTCACTATACGTGAATCGATCTCATCGCTCACGCCACCACCAGCACTTATGCAGCTACCTAGATACACGACCTCGACTGCTTCCATCTGCTCAGCATCCAGGGTGAGTACAGGATTAGAATCCTGCCAGCCTTGTAGAAGTACTTTGCAATTCGAATTAGCAAAGCACATACCGTACCTACAGTACGGTACAATTAATTCCAATCTAATTATTCATAAAGTATTCATTAAAAACATACTGATATTCAAAAAAATAACAATGACTTATAAAAATACATAAATGATACAATTCAGAAAAATAAGTCTTAGTTATATAAACTGATACAAACAGGTCAAAATATCGGAACTGTAAAAAAAACTGATACTTGCCAGAAAATATTCTACCATTTTAGATACACTTAAACAAAATATTTATTAATTCAAAATGTTTAAAACAATTAACTCATTTGATAAACCTAGAAAATACAATAAGACGACTGAGTTTATCAGAGCTATGTGAAATATATCAATACCATATATTTTGAACAATCTAATCACCCATGTATCTATTAAGGCCTTTGTACATGAAAAAATAAAAGACAATTAGATAAATTGAAAGATAAACAAAAAGTAGAAATAATATGGATAATCAATCGATATCACCAGGGCAAGTGCAGTATAGGTACAGATTATTTTCGAACACAAAACGGATTTGAATTTTTATATGAATAGGGCTTCATCAAGCCTAAGTATTGGCTCTAGATAGCATCTATACAAAACTACAAAGGTTAAGATTAAAGTAAGATCAGACTTATAACCTATTTCAACTGTTTGTTTAACAACGGAAGAAGATAGGTATCTATCATCTAGCGTTATTGGGTCGATCGACTTAATTTTTTCCGTAGCCAATTCGGTACCCATTCAGCTTTTTCGTTGCATTATCTAAATTTCTTAATTTGACTTAAAAGGAATTTATCAATCACTTATAAATTGTTAGACCATGAAATCTCTTACGACTTTCATACAGCTCATTCTAATCTTGTTATTTCTGTAAATATTTAGTGAATGAAAAACATCTCAGTCTTGTATTAGTAGTAGCGGTAGTAGTAATAAGAGTAGTATTGTTAAAAATAATGATATGAATTAGTATTTACCTTTCTGGTGAAAATCTCCATGCTAACATATCATCATTACTTTGTCGATATTTATTTTGTGCTTCTTTGGTTATTTCATGTAATTTTTTATAAACAAGATTCATTGAAGGTTCAAAGAAATGTTTCAATGTGATTAATGAATTGGCATCAATACCAATAGAATTTGATGAATAACCAGATGCTGTTGATGCGTGTATTTTACTAAATTTCGCTCTTTTAGCAGGCTTTATATTTTAAAATGTAAGTAGTATTAGACAGTTATGTTATTATTTGCGTTTTTATTGAATAATAAAATCAAAAAATACATACACTAGATGATGTAAAAACTATTTTTAAACCTGTTTATGATCCTCTAAACTTTATTTTCTTTATATTTGTATTTGTTTTATGTTAATCGTACTACTTACCAATTATAAGTAGTTCGAGTTGCAGTAAGTCGTTTTTACGAACAGTATACTGTAACAAATGACATGACTATGTTTTAACGATTCGCTCAACAGATCCGTTTATGAGCATATTTCGACGTTTTGGTGGCAATCCTTATTCATTGTTCTTTAACATTTTTCTTGAGTGATACTGTCTGAAATAATGTTTGTCAAGAACAATTAACTGACTTCTAAAAAGTGGTTGACACTTTAACCTGAAACAATCATGAGATTTTTACTTATGGTATAAGCTATAATCTAAAGGCTAAAAGTGTCCAAATTCTAGTCATTGGGTATCAAAATTATGTAGCTGACCCAATTCATCAGGTTTAAGTAGCCACGTTAAGTCACTAGTTAAATATAGCTTAAAGTCTAAGTCGAAAGAAAATAAATGAACAAGAGGACAGTAATATATCCAGCTAAACCGTAATATCAGATGTTTGTAACTCTACAACTAAACTAAAAGTTGGCATTTAAAAACAAAACACCGTATATCTAAATAATAACTCAGTAAGTTAAAATAGACTGGGTGCTCAACGTCTCATCACTTCAATTGCATGAGACCTCATGATATTGTTGACAGTCTATATTAAACCAGGTGAGAATACGAATTAAATCCATAACCTAATAATTGAAATCTCAATAGTTATTATTGACCCATATTTTACTCAATGAAAACCAGTGAAATATTCCTTTAGACCTGGACGTGAACGTATAAAGTGGAAACAAAAATCACATTACACGATAACTCACCAATATATATTCCATTTGAGCTAAACTGAAGTCTGCATTAATATAACGCGCTAAATATGAATCCAATTGTTCATGATATTTTTTCTCTGCTGCATAAATTTGATTTTCTACATATTTATTTATATATAAACCAAAAATATAAAAAATTAATAAACAAACCAAGATCTAACTTTTCTTCATCTAACAATTTAAGTTTTTCTTCAAGACTTCGTATTGTACCATCTTTATTGTTATCTCTAATAAAGATTTAGGAAGGAAGAAAGAAATCATACATATTGTCCGGATTATCCATGTCTGAATTATACTTAATGTCTACAGGTGATTTGATCTGTGATGTATGATCTGCCATCATTGTTCAGACCTGAAAGAAGAATCCAACATAATGCAGAGATAGACAAAGACTCTTGAGTGGTTGTTTTCAATATTATTTTATAATAGTACGTGAACGATGAACCAATAAACATTTCACTTAATCGTTTCATAAAACGATGTATTTATAGAAGCTACATAACGTTAAACACATATGTGTCCAACATTACTGATTAACTTCGGTAGTTTTGTTTGCTATAAACGGTGTGACGGAAAGGCAAACCCAACCTAATATCTGAATACCGAATAATATTATGAACTTGTTTTTATGATCCCGCAGATATCACCTAACGAATATTAACTGAGATTCCTACGTTGTTCTTCTAAACATTTTCAGTAAAGATTTAATCTATGGGAGGTAGTGAAAACTTATTGACTGAACCATCTGAGAGAAAAAAATATGCATAAAATAACTTTCAAATCGACCATTTTTCTAATGTCTCGAATGTATACTTAAAGAGATTCTGTTGCCCTCGAATTATCATGTAGTTATTCAATCGTGTGACCCTCTCACTTAGTACCTAAAGTATATAACGAGCAAACAATGAACAAATCCCAACCCCAAAATTAAAAAGGAAAGAAGTACCAAAATAACTGGGTGGTCAGTGATGACAACAGGAAATATCACTAAAGGGATGAAGTTATCACAGAAAATAAAAGTATCCATAAAACAGACTAAACCTTATCACGAGAGTAAAAACTCACTAAGCAGTGATGAATAGAACATATTTCTACTTTCTGTGAGATAAGTAATTATTTTTCACCTAGTTTACTGATTTATTTTCGCGACTATCTTGAACTTATGGCACGGAAACTATCACTAAGAACAAGCTTAGTGAATTTCAGACTTTTGTAGGTTTGTCAAGTACACTACACTTCGATAAATGTACGACTATTAACGGATAATAAAGAGAAATGTATGTCCATTTAACCTGTCCAGAGGTTTTCTCACCAGTAGTAATCAGTTTCCTTCATAAGATATAGCCCAAAAATTTAAACAACACACCCAACTTTGTGATCATCTAGTAATTCCTGACACAGAATAAGCTCTGATGCTATAAACGTGTGATAAAAAATAACTCCACAGCCGAAAAACTGCTTTTGTTCCTCGCGTTTTCTAATTTCGAGGGTGACTAGGACGATCACACTAAGAAAAAAAGACAAATATGAGTTCGAAAAAGAAATGAAGATTGAGGAACCGACAGTGGAGTAATATAGGTTATCTGGTGAAATCTATAGATAAACTGATGTATTAACAGTGAGAAATATATGACATATGGCTCGAAAAAAAAATCGACTGTCAAAAGAGATTGTGACAACATTATTTCATACCCCCAGAAATCAGCGAACTTAAAGCACCGTTTAGAAATAATGAGTTGGAGAGGTAAACAAAACACGGTCGTAATGCATAGCCGTATATTTCGAAAGTCATTTATACATATTAGTTATTTACAAAATATGACATTGTACGGTATAAATAGTTAGATTATAAGGAATAAGGCTATTCACAGAATACTGATGAACAGTAGAACAACTGTTGCTCATTTACAAAAACCGGCAAAGCGTAGGATAACTGAATAGTGAACATTCAAAAATAAAACAACAAAATCAATCATTTTCAACAGTCATTGGAAAAGATAAACTTTCCATTAAACCATCTACTTTTTCTTGAAGTTTACTAAGAATATCTGCGTCGATAAACAAATGATAGTCATCTAAATCCGTATGTACGAAATTTTTGCCCAAAACTAAATTTTCTGCTAAATGTAGGAGAAATTGTTTCATAGCAGGGTCGCTGAATTATAATAGACAATTAGATGGTAACTATTAATATTCACATTACCACTTGACGAGAATTCCTTTATGAACATTAACCATTGCTGCGGACGTGAACTCGACAATATGAAGAGTTTTTTTATGCTGTAGGAAGAGTCAACGTGTACGAATGTTAGAAGTCAATCAAAAAATATTATTATAACAATAGTAACCAAATAAAGTAATGAGCTTAGCTTTCATACTAAGCTGTATAAATAAACAGGAAACGTAAGCACGAGATAACTGTACTCACTTTTAGTAAAAATAAAATATACTATAGTGCCCCAAGTTGGGGACTCAGATAAAAAATTTAATACGCAAACGTTATTAGTTACAGGCGAATAAAAATTCAGATCTTCACTTAAACATGTATAAAGTGACAAAATAATAGCAATTAATACGAAATGAATGATACTTGGGGAAATATGCTATTAGAAAACACCAAAAACTGAATTCACTCAAAAGAATCACAGTTCTTTCAACTGCTTGGCATCTTTTGAATATCTATTGATATCCAATGAAGAGCTCTAGATAAATCGTATGTCCAACCACCAACTACCCCGACGAGCGATGTTTTATGGTGTAGGATTAGGTTGGAAGAAAACTAGGGGCAGCCAGACCAAAACATCGCACAAATCCATGAAGTCACTGACAAATAGACTGAGTCATGTTGGTAGGTGTAGACTACCTGGTTGGGGTCCGCGAGACGATAGCAATCGATGGTTAGAGATTTTTAATGACATGGCTCAAAATCATTTGTAATGGCGCAGGTGCATCCACTCTTTGTGTTCTCCCAAATTCTAATTTTTTGAATTCTTCATATCCATTTTTTCTCTTTCCAAATTTATTCCACTGGATTGTACTGCTACTGTCTAGTTATAGCGTTTTCCAAAACGGGAAAAGTCTTGAACACTTCCCGAGTAGTCACACGATTTATTGCTTTGTTCTCATATTTTCGATTACATAAATGAGTTTTGTGTCATTCAGTTATACACAGCGTAGAACCCAGTACGTGTGTACATTGGTTCAAGTTGCCACACCTCATTAATACGAAAAGATGAAATTGTCAAGTCAAATCTCAGAGTATCAGAGATAGTAACCGTATCAGTATTAATAGAGAAGATTAGGTACTGAAGATACAATCTGAGAAAATATAACCTAGTAGAATAAAAACAAAACAATTTTGGGGGAAAACAAAGAATGAATTAACCTCGGCCATTGCAAAGGTTCTTAGGCTATGTCGTTTAAAGCCCGCAACCAGTGGTTGCGATAGTCGAGCGGACCGAAACCAGGTAGTCTACACCTATTAACATGGCTCAGTACAATTGTTAATGTCTTCATAGTCTGGTGCTAATCTTTGGTAGTCCCTAATTTTCTTTCAGCCCGCCACCCGGCACTTCAGAACATTCGCGGCCTACAAACACATTCCCGACATTTATTCATGGATGTATTACGAAGGAACATCTTTAATGCTTCTAACTTTGCTTTGGTATTAGCTAATGTTGCTGAATATTGAGAACGTAGCACCGCCACTTATGCCGAAGTGGAAATGATTGAAATTGGCACGAGATTATGTACCACTAATAGATTTTGAGTGGAGTATGATTTAATAATACTATTACAATTTAAACCGTCACACAGACACATTAACCAGATGTAGCTCACAAAACTAGTCGTGCTGGGGTCACCAGGCCCTAAACCCGAATATTTAGTAAAATGCACCGGTGGCCCTACAAGGTCTGCTCATTAGCTTCATTTGAATATTTTAAATATTCTAATCAGTTACTCCAAGGTGAAAATCTTATAATACTGACAGACTATGGACCTCTAAAGGCCTAAACGTCAGCTGTCGTATGCCTTTGAAGCTGACAATGACTAATACTTCCCAAGCGATTCGACAGCTGAACTGTTTTACTTTTCCTTTAATATACAGTATCTAAAAGGTGAGGAAAATACTTGGGTTGATAAAGTTCACGTGGTACTTGACAGATGTCAGTTGACTAGAAAAAAATCTACAGAAATCCAGATGTATCAATGAATTTAAGTAACCCAAACTAGGTTTTCGCCTTGTCTGTATACCATGATTTAAAAACCTACCCGACTTAACGTGAAGAGATTTCAAACGAGTCTCAAAATCCACCTTGTAGCGGAAGACTTAATTTCCCGCTGAGTATCTAATACCCAGAATATCAAATATCCACGTAATGAGCTCGTATAAACCAACCAATCTCCTTTCACGGTTTTGAGTCCCAGGTGAAATTCAATGAGTGGTCGTAACGAAAAGAGTAAAAGATGAAAAAATATACGCACGCACACACCCGTGTGAAGACGCCTAAAGTTAGAAGAGAAAACCGGGAAGGACAAATATATAAAGGCATAAAATATAAACGAAAAGATTGAAATGATCTATCTGTTTAGAAGCCAGGAAAAATTCACGTAGACAATATACAGGTGCACTACAAGCCTCTTCTTCATGAAGGTTTAGTCGTCGAGTGGTGATAATCTCATCAAGTTGTAGTGACCCCCTTTTGTCAACAGAACGCGATTGGTTCAATGAAAACAATTATTATTATAACCAATTGTAGCAGTGACTGTTTTACTGAGCTCGTCTGTTTAACTGTGCTACTGACAGCCATATTGGCCTTCCATTGGACTCCATTACACTTCTGCGCGGTTTGCGACTCTACGCACGTACTTTTTCCTGGCGATCCCACTTGTACTACTTTGGCACGATCTTGGTATTCTTTCGGTACCACGAGATCGCCAACAAATAAACTTGGTTACGAACTACTCTCGCCTTCGGATTTATTTGGTACGCGCTCAAATTGTAGTAGTGTTCATAGTCAATCGCGACTCGACTCCACGCTACAATTTGTGAGCCAAATTTCGGAATACGCATCAACCTCTGGTCAAATCATCCAAAGAAGTCAATTCGGTGAGTCTCTGGTTAATCTATCCACGTCTGCGTATATTTTCATATTAATTTTTAACATATAATATACTCGACATGACGGATAGCGACAAAAGCAGCAATAATATTACAGACTCAGACGTACAGGCTATCTTTGTTCGACCTGTACCATTTATCCCCCATGACCCAGAGGTTTGGTTTGCTGCAATAGTCTCAATTCAAGACTCGTCGCATTTTGAGCCAAAAGCAAAAATACGCTTTCTCTCTTGAATCACTACCCGGGGGTCACATCGTAGCTGTACGTGAGGTAGTCCTTAATTCAAATGCCCCCAACGCCTACGATCGCCTCAAAGAGGCTATTCTTCGACATTTCCTCCCATCGAGGGAGGAACGATCAAGGATATTGTTAGCACGCCACCCTCTGGGTGATGCTAAACCAAGTCATCGACTCACGCGCCTGCAATCTCTTGCAGGACCTACAGCTGCCGACTCAAAAATCGTTAAAGAGCTATGGTTTGAGTCGTTACCAACACATATCCAACCAACCATCACGGCCCTGCTCGAGGACTCACCACTCAATCAGGTGGCCCTCATAGCGGATAAAATTTTGACAGGGATTGGCAACCGAGACAACTATGTAATTGCCTCAACGTCACGTTCAAACGCGGATATCGACGCCAGTCACTCCTTGGCTGAAGGTGATAGGGGCGGCCGTATTCACACACGTCTTAACTTCCGAGACCGCTGTGATATACCCGAACCCTACGTCCCTCGAGCCCGCTCACGCTCTCGAAAAGCTGTCAACACTCGCCCAACGAGGGCATCTTCCAAGCTACGCCGAAAGTCAGCTTCGGAAGCAAGTGAAGGTTGGTGCTGCTTCGATCGATCCTTCGGGTCTGGTGCCCGACGTTGTCGAGCCTCGTGCTCATACAAGGCGGGAAACCCTAAAGCCGGTGAGTAAAAGCGGCCGTACTCGCCGGCCCTGCCCCCTGGGTTGGCCGCTTATTTTACGTGCACGATTATCGCACAAACGCTAGGTACCTAGTGGACACAGGTTCCCAAGTTTCTGTCGTAACACGTGGTAGCATCAAGTCACGAGCTGCAATGCTTCGACTACGCGCTGCGAATGGCTTATCCATTCCTACCCACGGTACATGACAACTTGCGGTCAACCTGGGCAACCGACGACGGTATCTGTGGACGTTCATCATTGCAGATGTTCCCACAGCCATACTAGGTATTGATTTCCTACAGCACTACGAATTGCTAGTCGATTCACGTAGGCTGCATCTAATAGATACTTCGTCGAACAACAAATTCATGGGCTCTAAAGCTCACACAAACGTGTACCGAATCCTTGGCACTTTTTATTCGCGTGACGATAAATTCCACGCTTTATTCGAGAAATTCCCCAGAATAACCAAACCACTCGAGGAGATTTCACCGGTGACCAATCGTGTGGTACACCACATAGTCACCCGTGGACCACCAGTCACGGCAATACCACGCCGACTGGCACCGGACAAATTAGCTTTCGCTAAACGTGAGTTTGACAATTTACTATCTGCTGGTATTACTCGTCCTTCTCACAGTCCTTGGGCCTCTCCTTTACACATGGTGCGCAAAAAGGATGGGATTAGTTGGAGACCATGCGGCGACTACCGAGCATTAAGCATAGTTACGCGCTTTGATAGCTGCCCCATCCTCCACATACACAACATCACGGCATCACTCAAGGGCATGACAATCTTTTCTAAGATTGATCTGGTACGAGCATATCACCAGATCCCAGTCGCTCTTGTAGATATTGACAAAACTGCTATCACGACTCCTTTCGGTCTGTTTGAGTTCCTACGAATGCCATTTGGATTACGGAGTGCTGCTCAAACTTTCCAAAGGTTTATCGATAGCATAGTACGAGACTTGAATTTTGTTCACGACTATATTGATGACCTGTTAATCGCACCATCAAACGTAGATGAACATTATCAACACCTTACTCTATTTTTCTAACGCCTCTCGGATAATGGAATAGTAGTCAACCCAGACAAGTGTGAATTGGGTTACATCATCAGGCAAGAGGGTATTCTGCCTTGCGAGGACAAAGTTTGAGCAATCAAGGAGTACAACGTGCCGTCCTCAATCAAGGAAC